AGAGAATGGTGTTGACTCAACTGCGAATTGGCCGCAAGGGCATCTCCTTGTTAACAAAAGGCCATGGAGATGTGCCCTGTGTGGCGCACAACTAACCGTTAAATATATACTGAATTGTGAAAAATTGGCATCGCGCAGAACATGTGTGGCTTTTCTTAGAGTCTCAGAGCTATTAAAACGCAACAGTGATGCCAGCAAAAAGTTAATCGAATACCTGAAGCAAATAAATGCACATGGTTGCATTTGATGCTTTTCCACAAGTGGTTTTCCTACCTGAAATGAATGCATTTATTAGCGTGTGTTGATTATGTGTGGGGGTCGTGGCGGGACCCCACAGACCCACTAAACTAGATTAGCTTAAGATTAGGTGTTTTAGAGTAAAAGGGGTGAGGCACATGCGAAATATTAATACCCCAGTGTCTCCCCAATTTTGAGCTGTACATATGGTATGAAAGGTTTGAATCAGTATGTCTGTATTTATTAGCGTGATTGCATATGTGGAATATCCAGTACCCTGAAACCTGCCAAACTAAGGTTAGGCTAAGTTTGAATGTTTAGGTATGCATCAATTGGAGAGCCTTTTCATCACATGTGAAAAGGTAAATAACAAAGTCCCAGAAGTTCTATCAGAAAGGTAGCTAGGCTTTCTACGGGAGAGCCAATTCTTTTCTTCGTCTTCAAAAAGAAAAAGAAAAAACCCTGATAACTAGCCAGCCAAAAATAAATCATTTTTCTACTGTACAATATGATTTGTTATGTTCATGTAGGTAATTAACTGTGTTACTAAACTATGAGGTTTCATTCTCGCATGTATTGATTATGGTTCGATAGTCTACGGCAGTGCAGCCAAATCCCACTTTAAAAAACTTGAAAAGGTCCAACACAGGGCAATAAGGCTTTGCCTCGGGGCATTAGGATCTTCCCCTCTCATTTCCTCAAGGTAGAGGCCAATACGGAACCACTGCATCTAAGTAGGAAACGACTAACAACAAAATTCCTTGCTACTCCAATGCACGATCCCAACCATCCTGTAGTTATGGGAATGGATTCTTTGGCTGCCACAGCCCTTAGTGAACCCCACAAACCACCTAGAGTCACGCCCCCTCTACTTGAAACTCATATGAAAATGAAAAGCATCTCTCTGGGAAAAATCATCCGCTCGTCAAACACGAAACTCCACTGGCTTATTCCACTCTTCGCACCTAAGGTTATAACGTGCCTACAGGAATTGAAAGGTGAACAGGACTACATTAAGGTCTGTTTTGAGACTGGTAGAAGCCTGCTGGCTACGGTAGTTTATACAGATGGCTCAAAATCCCAGTATGGGGTGGGGGCCGCAATACTTAATATAAATAATGACTATTCCAGGCAGTTTAAACTCCCACCTTTGTGTACGATCTTCTTCGCTGAAGCTGTAGCCATAAGGGAAGCTATAAAATACATTAAACAGACAAAACCAGCCAAGACCATAATTTGTTCGGACAGCCTTAGTGTTCTGACAGCCCTGAAGAAAACGAATACTCCTGACCATTATTCTAGAGATCAAAAACATTTTGTTAGCCTGCGGAAGCGGTATAGCTATTCATCTTCTCTGGGTCAAAGGCCATAACAGCAACTGGTTTAACCAGTGGATTGATGCATTGGCAAAGGAGGCTGCTCTACCGGGAAACGACATCAAAGAGATCTCAGCCTGGGACATTGTATCGCATAATAGTCTTAGTACTCAAGAAATGGCAAAGCGAGTACAAACAATCATCCAAAAGCAAAGGCATCTGGTACTCTACCTCCCAACCAAACATCCAGTCTAAACCGTGGTTTTCAAATGTCAAAAGAAATAGAAAATTCTTTACTACTATATGTAGACTGAGGTTTAACCACAAGACTCCCATCACACATGCATAAGAATTATACAAACAAGAAAATGCTCGTGCGACAATACCTCAACGGCGTACGGAAACCACATCATACTGGGATGCCCGCTGAACACTACCGAAAGAGAACATATTTTTAAAGCGCTCAAGAAATATAAAATCCCTCTCCCCACTGGTAAACTTAATACTAAACTACACAAACTGCATTGAAATTCTAGATACCGTATACAAATTCATCACCGATAACGACATAGATATTTAAGATACATAACCATCCTTGAGGCATGGTGGCATCTGGGAGGGGGGGTCGTGCGGGGATGGTTCAGCTGGAGACCATTGGGGGACATCTCTGCGCTCTCAGGGCGCGTTATGCTCTGGACTGGGTGATGGTGTTGGACTTTTCCAAGGGTAGCTTTACCATGAAAGGTGTTTTATCCACCACCATCGGGAACAATCTGTTATGATGAGAATTTCCCCATTACAAATGGAGAGCCCAGGTGTCCTCCTGGCCGGACGGGGGTCGCCTTCCAGGGGCTGGTAGCATCAAGCAATGAACGTAGATGGCTAGATGTACACTAGTTCAAGACAACAAAAAAAACTATGAGGTTTGAATTATAATTCTTTTTTTAAGTTAATGTTCACCCCGATAATTTTTTATGAATATAAATATGTTTGTATTGTGGTTTACATTTTGAGAGCCTCTGTGAAAGATTGGTTTTTTACTCATGCCCCACAGCACAACTTCCTATAAAGTCTCAACGGACTATAAAGGAGAGGAAGAACACAGGAGAGCATCAGATACAATGATGTACACAGATGTCTCCAAAACAAACGAAGGAACCGGATCAGGCGTGTACAAGCCCAAAACGTGAGCAATCAAACTCATTAGGGAAGTACACTTTGGTCTTTCAAGCGGAAATACATGCCATTAATGCTCGTGCCCTGGAAAATCTTAAAAGAGGTTACACTGACAAAAAGCCGACCAAGTCCCAGACCTTTTAGGGATGGGGTACGAGTCTACCCAGGCATTTAACCCCTCGGGTCTTGGTCGCCCACCCTGCATAATGTATATATACACTGACAAAAAATCCTCATAAGATAAGCTAGCCAAGCAGCTATTAAAGCATTAGCATGTAAAAGAATCACATCAAAATTTGTCAGTGAATGCATCCAAAATCTCCAAAACCTGGGGAAACACAACAACCTGATTATATCTTGGGTGCCAGGGCATGGGAATTTTGGCTAACGAGAAAGCAGACAGACTGGCCAAAGGAGGATCTGCAAGACCATACATAGGCCCCAAACCTATTCTTGGGATAACAAAAACAAATATAGAATCCTCCATCGCAGAATGGATCCAAACAAAACAAAAGGAGAAGTGGATAAACTCTAGCGGTGCTAGACATAGTAAACTTATGATGAAACCCTCACCGAGACTGGCAAAAACACTGCTGCAATTGGAGAGGGCCAAACTCAGAGGAGTGGTAGGACTACAAACCGGTCACTGGTATCTGAGAAAACATCTACACAACATGGGTATGGCAATGATCCCATTTGCAGATTAGGTAATGAGGAGGAGGAAACAGCCATCATCTTCGAATGCGAAGCAACAGCTCAATGGAGGTTTAACCTAACGTACGGAAAAGACTTAGGGAATCAAATTGCAGCAGCAACAGTCAATGACCCGATACTTCTAGGAAGAAGGATTGAATCTATTGACTGAACTAAGGAACTAGGAAGGTACAATAAGCCAGAAGGCTGCAGTGCCTGGGGAATACATACCCCTCTTCCTAGTATCCTTTTCCACCATACCATACCATGCCCCACAGTAAGACGCCGAGAGGCCCAAGGTCTAAGGAACAAGGTTGCCCATTTGAAGGGATGTCTCATGGACTTCATAATTTGCCTCCAAATACATGATGGTCCGTAATTATGTGCTGAACTTGAAATTGCCTGATAGCTACTGTCTTGTAGATGAAGAGGGCAATTGCCTTTTCAAATCCTTTTGGATTCATCATTTTTCCTCCTCCCATTCCAATTGCTAAATGGATATGGCCTATTCTCTCATGTTGGTGAACATGATTCTTCATTTACAGCTCAGTTTCTTGGGAAACAATCAAACAGTCATGCTCTATTTAATAGTAATTATTATAGAGCTTTGCATTAACTGGTCGAGGTCCCCTGTTTCTTTTCTGGTATGGGCGTCAAGTTAACCATAATTATTTCAACCATTAAATCAATTTAGCAGTTCAGCACAGGATATTGATACTGACTGATCAGGTCCTTAATCAACGTTATTATATTACATAGTGATTTTCTTTATATTAAAAAATATAAATAAATAAAGATTAAAACATACTTTATATTTTACAAATTTGTGAGGAAAATTGATTTACATAACAAATAGAATATAATACAATTTTTAGCATGATTATCTAAAAATATATAGAGAGAACAAACATTCTGTCTGAAGAACTTTATCTCATTCATATTATCATGTCAAAATTGTAGAAAACAGAAATTATATTGCTTTAAATGTAGTTTAGGAAAGGCCAATAAATATGCATCATATTGTGAATTTCAACTGAACTAATCTAATAATCAGCAACTTTTATAAATTGATTTTTTACTGACCAAATTCTACTTTTTTTCTTTTTTTTTTAATGGTATTTCAACTATGTGGTTATTATATGAACCGGCTTTAAAAATTGAACAAAGTTTAAACTTTACAAGCTATTTATTTCAAGATTTAATTTATTATTTATTCATTATAAACAATTTACATTTTATATATAAAGGGGGAGGACAACAGCATTTAATTGTTTTTCTTGAGAGTTCGCAACAGCCTCTGCAACAACCTCTGTCATATCAACCCTCGGGGTGCCAGTGTTTTTAAATAAAAAGCCCATTTGTACGTATGCTGGGTTCAAATGCAGGGCCACTGGACTTGAACCTGGGACCTTTACTTTACAGTGATGACCACCGTGTCAACGCCTAAACCATTGCGGCCACCAACACCCCCTTTAATTGTTTTAAGAAGAATATCAGCCATTCCTTTAATATTTTAAATAAGTAACAAAATTCAATAATTTTCTTATATACAAACTTACTTTTAACTTAAAATATAATATTGTTATAAAACTGAAACAAAATCAAAAATGCAAACTAAATATCACAATTAGATAAAAACTTATTTCAATTTTTGGATTCTTTCAGCTGATTCAGCTTGGCTCGAACAGAACTGAGGACTACTTTTAACTGTTCGTATTTCCCAGTAGCGTTAGGAAGATTTACAAAATATTCAACATCGCTGATATCCTTGCTGAAGGCCTCAGGCGGCGGGAGTTTTGTATAAGGCGAATGTAATTTAAAAGCAGGAGTTCCAAATTCGACAGACTTTACTTTTCCATGTGTTTCATTCAAAGAATCGTCAGGAAAATTTACATCATTGTCTTCTAACATCTTGGATTTTTCTTTCTATAAAAAACAACAATCAAATTAAAATAATACATGCTTTTAAAACTTTTTTTTTCATAAAATGCATACTTTTTTCTTTTTCTTTTTTTTCTTGGAGGTAAATTTAGGTGTACTTGCATCTTCTTGTTCAGCATTTTCACAGTTGTCTTTAATTTCATCATTTTTGTCTTCGCCTGGAGGAGGAGGCTGTTCCTCTTCACATTCCGGCAGGGAAGGAACAAACACTAAATTCGTACATTTAGTGTCTATAAGAACATCTTAAAGACAAAAATAAAAAAAAATAACGACTATCACACAAAAGATCCTGTAGAATATAATCAGCTGGCCGTTACCTTCTGTTTCTTCAGTTTCCATATCCCTTGTTGAACTGTCTGGTGAATTATTTAACACTTCCATTTTCTTTTTTAAACATTCAATAAAAAATTCCTTGCTGTGTTCACGATACATCGGCAGAGCATTATATTTTTCAGTTTCCTGAAATTTAGTTTGTTTTAAATAATTCATTTCACTTTTCAAGCTGTAGCCATAACTTACATTGAGTGTATCCGCATTAGGCCAGACATTGTAACCAGGGTATTCGATTATTTTAGACAAGTCGTAATCCGTCTTTTCAACCACTATCTCCCCTTCTTCCTCATTCTGATTTGGTACTCCTGTAATAAATTATATGTTCAATCAAATTCAAAGTTTTCTACTTCTTTAAAAAATAAGAGATCTACTTACTTTCACCATTTGAATCGAACATGTTTATGCCTGAATTATTCCCCTGTCTGCACTCCTCAAGCCAGCCAGGAGGGTAACCTATGGATCGCATATTATAGATAAACCTCGGTAGCTGATACTGGTTCAGACCGAGCGCTTCTCTTAATTTCATGCTTATGACCCCTGGCCTCACATTGCTGTCTTCTATTTCAATGTGATAACGTTTAAAACCCCTGAATCAATTGCCATAAATATCTTTGTCATTGTAATTATTACCAAAAAATAATTACCCTCCGAATCTAGATTTCTGTGGGTATTTTCTTTTTCTATTGTCTTTTTGATTATCTGCACCATCTTTATAACCAAATGAACCTTCGTCTTCACCGTCCTCAGGAAGAATCGATATTTCCTATTGGATAAAAATGAAAAATGGCTAATGTGCCAGCACTTTCAACAAACTACACTAGAACATAACCTTACATTAAATAAAATGGCAATAATATTTTCCTTTTAGTAATAATAGTAGCAAGTACAATCGAAAAAATAATTAAAGAATGGATATGTAATAAACCCTGAACAATGTCTTTTTTTATTGGTTTTGATTCCCATATAAGCCAGAAAAGGAATTGCAGAAGATCAGGGCCAACAGCAGGATTCAAACCCACGATCACGGTGTCTACAAACTGAGAGTCTAATATGTGAACCACTTGGCTACCGAGGCCCCCTGTAGAATACATCAATGGCAAATCTGCTTACCTCCATGAAACATCTACCTGAACCGGTAATGTATAAAACTTAGAACTAACAAGAAAATTTCTCACTGGGCAAGAAAGGAAGAGAATAGAAACGAACAATTTCTACAATTTCAAGTACATGCAAGTCTAAAAACTGGAATTCTTAAAATACCAGGACTAAAATCATCAATGTAGATCTACATTTTAACAGGCAGGAAACAACTGTACAACTCTAAACCACCTCACCTCTACATAACCCATTGAATTTTCATTTCAAAATGTGCAAGATCCGTCAAGAAAAATTAGAAACAACGAAACACCAGACAAAACCAAAGTGATATCAACTGCTGGTACATTGATGAACTAGAACACAAAGAATACAGGGGCAGGAGTATTCAGCCCTGAAACCAAATACTAAAAATCCATGGGAAAGTACATGGGTATCCTCCAGCCTGAAGTCCATGCAATCGAGAGAAGTTCAAACTGAATAAAGGTATACAAACAAGCAAATCACATCATATAGCCAGGCAGCTATCAAAACACTATGCTCAAAACATCATTAGCTCAAAGTTGGTGTTGAAATACAAAACTAAATTAAATAAATTAAGTATGCAAAGACCATGACAAGTAGGAGTAGAAGGAAAATAGAGCCTATGCCCTTGGAAAGAAAGGGGCTGCTATACCGCTGATAGGTCTAAACCATTCTGTTGCATAGGAATTCACACTATCAATCTTAGACAAAAAGACATGATGAAAATGAGGAAAAAGTGGAATTCACTCAATGGGCACAAACAATCCAAGAGCCTTCTGGCAAGTTTCAGAAAGAACGCATCAAAGGAAGAAACAAAAAACTTTTTCTAACAAGATTGTTAATAGGACACTGCAGAGTGAATCTGCATCAGCATTTGAGGAAGATTGGTATAATCCAACAAGGTGCAGATCCCGTAATGAAGTGGGAGAAACAACAATGCATCTATTAATATAACGTAGCGCTACATTTTGTGTGCATGAAGAAGTGTTTTACGGGAAGACATTCAACCATGGAATAATCAAATTTCTTGATGAACTAGAACTCACTGTACTATATGACAGAACAGGGAATACAATAGCTTTCAAAGGACACAATATATTACAACCGCATATTACATTTACATCTACAAAACAGTGAGGAGAGGCAGATTGAGATGAAAAAAAAGAATTGCTTAAGTGCATGATCAAGTATTGTTAGGTTTGCAGAAGAATTCGAACACAATGTGCCACAAATTTGGCAAGACATGCGCTGTGCAAATGGAGTAGATTATCTTTGTATTCAAGAAATTTAGTACTACTCATTAAAAGCAATTGTATACAAAATTGTGGAAATTATTATAACTATTATTTCCTTTAGCTAATGGCAATCTCCGTATATTTAATGTAGGTTTTAAACGTTGGAAAGTTTTTATTTAAGCCTTGCTTAGTTGAAAGATTATTTCCAAAATAGAAAATTGATCATAACATCAAGGAACACATGATACGTCAACAACATTGAAGGGAGGTTTCTCGGTTTTATTTGTTTTTAGAAATTGTAGAATTTGACATTATATCAATATATAAAAACATTAAAGTTATAAAAAAAAATAATTAATTAAATGTTCTAGGTAGTTGACGCTAGGGGCACATTCACCAGAGCAAGGATATAACTTTTATATTTCCCAGAGGAGGTTTGAAAGGTACACGTTTCAAGATTACATAAATAACTTATCAATATAACATAAATAATTAAAAAATCAAACTATTAAAATTAGACTTTATTTTGAAAATGAGATATAAAGTTTATAAAACAGACTTACCCTCCGGTAGAGGATCTTTGTGAACTCGTCTTTCTCTTCAGGCTCGATTGAAATGCTAAATAGATTATTGTCCTCGGACGGGGCAACTTCCTCCTCCTCCTCGACCATTTCGAAAAACGTGAAAAAACTATTTGTCACGAAAAAAAAACCTTTTTCTCAAAAGAAAAAGAAAAACAGGGACCGAAAATTGAGCAGGAAATTGTTAAGTTGGAATGAATTATGAAACGGCAGGCTATTCACAGGTTATCGGAAACATTTCGAGGCACGCTACTGCCTTTTCAGTTCGCCAACTTAAAAATATTGTAAACAAATTTCCCTGCGTTAACTATCTTAAAAAATTATTCTACTAAAAATTTATCATAATATAATATGCAAATGAAATTTGCGCAGGTCAAAATGTGAATTATATTAGAGTTAATCACTAACTATTCGAACAATTTTGATATTTATTTATATCATTCTTTTCAGCCCCTCCCATTAACAAATTTTCTTGCATCAATTAATTACCCCAATTTTTTAGACTAAAATGTAGCCTACCTTAATAGATTTTATATGCATTTGTCTTTATTAACTATTTTAGTGAAAATAACTTGCCCAAGTAAATTCAAATTGTCTTATAGAATAGAATATATACTTATAAATATAGACATCACAAATAATAACAAAATACATTACTTAATTTTTTTCTTTTTGTATCTGTGATTTTGTTAATTTTCAACCAATATATTATTCTTCTCTGGAAATAGAAAACTTTTTGATTTGAGCTGAACATAAAGATCCATGACACTGTACAGGCTCCCACTTCCCCAAGAGCGCAATCATGAGATTTAGTAGGGAATCAAAAAGATGATGAATACATTTCTTTTTAATTTTTAAAATCCCTATCCTCATTTGTAAAATGAGAAGTTTAATTTCATAATAAAAATAATAATAATAATATAAAAATACAGTAAAGTTAATACAATTTCATAACACAGAAGTGTATGTACCTAAAAGTAACGCAAGTAAACAAGAAAACATATTTTATAAAATATATGCAAATCACAATCGACCTTTGGGGGTGAGGGTCTTTGTGGATTTGTTTCATATTATCGAGTTTGTACAGTTTTTAATAAAGAAGAGTATATATTGTTAGGTTGGAAGCTTAGTACTGAAGATAAGTACTGAAAGGAATGTTTTAGTTTTAACGGTGGAACAGAATGTTAAGAGTTCATCGTTCTTGTTGCAATAAATTAGATAGGATTTACAGGGATTGAACTAATGTATTTTCTCATTTAATTATAAGTAAGGTGAAACATCATAAGCCTAACACAAATGAGAAATGATTGAAATAATCATAACTAAATAAATTAGCGTATTCACTTTGGCAAAGCCTTAAGGAGAGTTGGTTTGATATTAGAGACTGTGCTCAAGCTAGGAAAGTAACTGTCACCTCCCTGGGTCCTTTCAGCCATATTCGTCCAGAGTATTTTGTGGTACTGACCACTGCACCTCTACTGAGATGCATTCATAGAATTCAGATCAGGGTTCGCCTCATCTTTACTGACAAAGTTGTGGCCTGTCGTCCGTAGCGGAAGTTCATCCACTTCATGGCCACTCCCTCGGCACTGTAGCATGTACTCGGCACTGTATGCTACCTGGCTTGCGCTCCTGGGTGATTCGAGATGAAGGAGACCATGCCTATCATCTGTATAGACTCCGTGAGTTCAGTTATGGCAACAGTGATGGATTCTCAGTGGATCCTCTCATTGTGTACTGGAGCACCTCGCAAAAATAGTGGTAGTCGTTTGGGTACCTGGACATATCAGGATGAAGAACAACAAATGTAAAGATGAGGTAGCAAAAGGTGGGACATCTTGCCTTCCAAACCGAACCACCGCAATCCAGCCTACTGATACTGTACAAGCAGTAAAGAATGCAATAAAAGAATTCTGGCAGAATGTGGGCCAAATCATCTGAGAAACTCTTGTGTTTCAACAGCCTGACTGAACGATGGCCCTCCTGAGAGTCAAAGAAAAGGGATCATGCTGACCTGTTTGGAGAGAGGCCATACCTGATTGTGCCATACTCGTGCAGGTGTCCTGCTTGTAGGGGAAGTTTGCTCGGTATGTCACAGTTGGTCTTGTCCCTTTGTAGGGAGTAAGTAGGCTTGACACCCAATATAAAAACAATCTTTGGGCATGAAAGTAGGTTGTACTTTCCCCGTATTTTACATGAAATATTGTATGTATAAATTATTTATTGCATATATTTTTATTATACAGTTTATAGGAATGTGTTTTGTTAAATTATAATTTAAAACCACAATATTTCATTTCATGTTGTTTGAAGTGTCTAATATATTTGTGTATTATTAATAAGGATAACATGTTTGACAAGCCGTGTGCTGCTGAATTTTTCAAATGGAGAAAATATCCCACACCCCGCTCAAGGATGCTGGAGGACATGACAACAAAAAAGGGATTGAAGAACAAAATATTCACAGCCAGGAGAGACTGTTACAAAGGCGAATGGAAAGACAATTTGAAAGACGGTTTGTGCACACTTAAAAATTAAAATTTGTGATAATCCGATATTTTAAGTTACACGCTGCGCAGGATGGGGATTATACTTGGCTAACGACAAGAGCAAGTCCCTGTATGAAGGCCACTGGAAGAAGCATAAGGCTGATGGATTCGGTGTTCATTCAATCTGTTTGAAAAACGGCAAATATAAAATTATGGAATCGGGTTCTTGGAAAAATGGAAAGCCAGATGTAAGCGCTGAAATAATTTAATTTAACATAATTATGTCCAATTTATTTGTTTCAATGATGGTTCAAGGGAATGGGGTTTTCCTACAAAAATGGCAACTACTATGAAGGTACATTTGAAAAAGGGAAAAAACAAGGCCATGGAAGAATGTGGTACAAAAATGGCAACTTTTACGAAGGGAAATGGAAGAATGACAAGAGACACGGCTTGGGATTATTTGTTTTCAGTTGTGTTCAAAAGGTTTTTCTTCTTTTTTTAGTGTTTGTAAATGTTGATTGTTACAGGCAATGGAAACAGGTACGAGGGTGAGTTTTTTGAAGGGATGAAGCAAGGTGCAGGAGTCCTATACCATCTCAAAACTGGACAAGCACAAGAAGGTATCTGGATCGATGACAATTGCGTCACTAGTCATATACGCGACATCCAGTTTAGACAAGCAGCTATAAGTCCTACACCATATCCAATTCCAGACGTATGTAATATTTATGTAAATTTAATAACTATTTATCCATAAATTAATATGCCCTATATTTATGTACAAAGATAGATAACACGTATGTGTAATGCAGCTTTGTAGATTAGTTAAAATGCAAATTAGTACTCTATGACATTTTGACCTTACAATTTTTGATTAAATTAAACTTTTTCTATTTCCCATTTAATCAATTTACGATCATTTCGATTTAATTATACAATGACACAGAATTCAAGGTGGGATGAAGAAGGGGTAATAAAATGAAAGTAGATTAGAGCAAAACAATTTTTACTGTACTAAAATTATAATCTTTACACTATACAAAATTCGGTCCAAATCTGTGGGGCAATAAAATTGCCTTAAACATGTTATAATCTAATAAATGTACGTTAAAAACGTTATTGTAATAAGTTAATATTGAATTTATTGGCCCAAAACTTGAATACATAAAGCGAAAAATGTATGCATTTTTTATTTACTTCATTGACATTCTTAATAGGTGAATCACAGATCATTTTTTAAAAAATTTTATATTTATTTATTCCATTTTTTTTTTTTTTTTTTTTTGTTCTTTGTCCAACAAAATTATTAAAGGTTGGATAGTTTTGTAATAAAAAATACATTATTTTAATGCTTCAATTCACTTTTCATTTTCTTTCTAAATGTTTATGTTACCTAAAGGTATTTTGGCAAGATATTTTGTTGTCTTGAAAGCGTTAATTTCCAAACATAAAACGTTTGGAAGAAAAGTCAAAGTGATACTCCAAATTTAATCAGAGTAAAATGTGGCATTACATTTATAAATCTAATTGAACTGTACAATTGATAACTAAAATTACTATATTATATAATAGTATTACAAATGTGGGAATATGTACAGTTAACATGAATTATCACATATTTTCCTGTGGTAAATTAATAATGTAATAAAATATTAGCATTTGGTGAAAGCCCGCTTAGTTAAACAATAAATAAATTGTTCGAATGCCCCTCTTATGTTTTACTCAATACTTGCATAAGCTTTAAACAAACATAATATTATAAGCTAGAAAAATTGTATCTGTGTAATACTGATTTATTGTGTATTAGTTTGCTATACCTATACTGCAAATGTCTATGAATAGTTTATCAAGAAATATCTAACAATATTTATAATGGCAATCATAATTACAATTTCATAAATGTAATAAATATCATATAACTGCTCTATGGTTGCTTATAATTACTTGAAATAATTTAAGAATCAATTGAATATTGCACTATTTTGTAATCATGTAATAATCACACTTTACACTCTTCGGCTACACCGCCCCATTTAAGTTTGTACGTTCTTGTTCGCCATTTAATTTTTGGGTTTAAGAGGGCTTTCAGAAATAAATACGGACTACAGGCTTCTCTGAAAATCCACCCTATCACAAAATCAAATTTGTTGAATGGTAAAGTTCCGTTTTGTACTATTGAAAGTAGTATCCAGTCACAGAAGAACCAAACTAGTACATGAACTAAATAGAATAAAATTGGGTCCCAATTGAATAAGAAGTAGACCGCACCGGCAGTGCACGCACCTAACACGAGACATTCAGATAGCGGTTCGAATAGCAATGTCAAAGGAAGCATGGCCACACGTAGCTTGACCCATCGACGCAATCTCGCTTGAAAAAACTGTACTTCGCAAATGCCCGAGTTTTGCCATGCGGGCTGACTGCTCACGGTTATTTTCCACCCCCTATCTGTCAACGATTTTGCGAGGAAAAAGTCTTCGGCCAAGTAGCAACTAAAAGCCTCTATCCCTCCGACTTCGTCTATGAGGTTTTTCCTAATCAAAGCCGACATGCCCGTGTGGCAATTGATATTCAATAAATCGGCAGCCAGGTAGATCCTTGCCTGAGCCGTACCGAAGTACACTTTTTCTAAAGTACCGGCAAAACCGCCACGATCACTAGTAAAAGGCATTTGGTGAACTAAACCGACTTTATCTGTCAGATGATTTACCATATCTAACAGAGTATCTTCCTTCATCCTAATACCGCTGTCAGATATTAATATTAAAGGATGGTTGCTATTGACATAGCCTTGATGCATATTATTTATTTTAGGGTTCACACCGACATTTGAACCTCCTGTGAATATCCTACAAACAACGTTAGGATATTTATCTTGCAATCGTTTTGCAACCATTAACGCCGGATCGGATTCCTCTTCAATACAAAAATGAATCTCATAAAGCGGATAATTCATTGTAAAAAATGTTTCTAAATTATTAAATAAATTTGGATCGACGCCCATAAGGGGTTTTAAAATAGTGACGCCGGGATATCCTTTTTCATTTGGTAACAGTTGGGTTTTGCGGTGTAATCTATATTTCGCGTAGATGATTGCTAATATGTGTATTACCCATTTCCCACCCCAGAATATCAAGATGAATATAGACAAACTATAGAGAGTATAGAACAACGGAGTCATTTTAATATGCCCATTTTTAATAATAAAGAACAAAATCTAAATCTTTTAAAGTATAAAGTACATTCTACATTCATTTTGCTAAGCAAACATTTCAATCATCTTCTTCTATTAAAACAAGTTCCAGAATCAATTAAGTATCTACCGATAAGAGAGTTATCAAAATGTTCTTTCAATAAACAAATGAATTCTATTAAATTAGACAAATCGATGAAACCTTTTATGCTAAATTCTTTTTTGATTTGACAACTCAGTTCAATATTATTAAACATGCAAAAATAAATATGAGCATTAACTACAACATAATTGCCTTGAGCTAATTCACTTAAAAACTGTAGTAGCAATGTTTCCTTAAACCTGTCTTGCTTTCTAATTCCTCTTGAAATCTCTTGACAATATGATAATGCTTTTCTGTTATGAAAAATTTCAAAAAAACTTCCATCTTCACAAGGGCAAATTTCCTGGAAAAAAATTCAAATTAAAAAGAGAAAAAAAATACACAAGCAGCACAAGGTCAATAAAAATGATAATTAAGTTCTTTATAAAGGCACAAGGACATACCATATTATGAAATACCATAGAGATGATATGGTCTAGAGATCATTGTCATATCCATTCGTTTATCCTGATTTGAAGTAAAAATATATCCTAAAAATAAATATTATCATTATTATTTTTTTAATTAAAAACACTATTAAAAAAGCAACAATGAAGGCCACAAAGCTAATAATAATGAGAATAAGAAAGGGAGAGAGAGAGAGAGAGAGAGAGAGAAACACAATTATAAATCCAATTCTTTGACATGAAACGTCAAAATCAACTACTTAACTAATTTCTGCAATAAATACAACAACAAAAGATAATATTCAATTGAAAATGAGCACGCATAATTAACTTAATTAATAGAACAGAAATAATACAAAAAATTAATAAACTTCATCATTCAATCTTCTTTCAAATGATAATACTTCTAATTTTATGTTTATACCAACAATACTCCTTTTTATTATAATACAAATTATTTAAATATGTAATTTTAAAACAAATGATTTGGTTATTAGAAAAGAAAAAATATGAAGATATTAATTGACATTCAATTGTTTAATTTACAATTGACATTTTGGTCACTTTAAAATCAAAATTAATTTATTCAATCTTATGTCACTATTAAAGGTAAATGTGTGTTTTTTAGTGACTGGTTGTTAATAATTTGTTAATGTCGTCAGGAGCGGTCAAGAATGAAGTATTTTGAAAAACACCTTTTTTTTTCTTGACTTTTGACCTTTTTTCGGACCATCTTCAGGGCTTGGTGAATTACAAAACAAATTTTGATTGAAAAAAATGCAATACACATGTAAATAATTTAAATTTTGAACCAAGTATTTCATACTCACATAAAATAATAGCTCCACACTTTATGTGAGTTATTAAAGAAGAGATTGATTATTTAAAAATTTATTTACAAAATCCAATTGTAAACACAAGTGGGAGATTTTATCTGTTTTATTTACCTCTAATCCTTTAAAACAAGCCAAATATTGTTGTAACATAATCAATGGAGCATAGTCGAAGAAATAATTTTAAAAAATTATTAAGGGTGGCTACTTTTTTTTTATCTCTTAACATTATGTATAAAATGTTCTTCTACTAGTTTGATTCTGTTTCTAAAAATTGCACGTGTGTTCTTAAAAATAAACAATTCTTGGAAAAAAAAAACCTTTCTACCAATTTACATATAATTTAAAACTACTAGATAGAATTCATGCAGTAAATATTAATTGGAGTTTTGTGATGATGTAAAACATGCAAAACTAGTCTAAACTTAAATGGTAGTTTTCCTAATAAAATAATTATTACTAATTTCTTTGTTAATAATGAAATAAATTATAATAAATACAATAATCATATAATATGTATTATTAAAGAATTATATTACATTATTTTTTTATCTAAAATTATGCATCCAACAATGACAACAATGCTGTGAGATATATTAAATTATTTGAATTTTACCAAGATTCATTTTTTTTTTTTTTTTTATTTCTATCTTAAATCCTATATCAAAACAGACAATTAAATTGCTCAACATCAAAGGCTTTATGTTATTTCCTAAATTTACATATTTCTACTGATGATTAAAAAAAAACTTTTATTAGTACAATTACCCATTTATCAATTTTGAAGTATCACATTATTTAAATTTATCATTAATAAAGTTTATATATAGTAATAACCAAAATGCAATGGTTAAAAAAAAAAGCACATGGATATAAATTTATTGTAAAACTTTGAAAAATTTCCGAACATTCCAAATTGTATTGGAATGGTGAGATTTATTTACGAGGTTTTTGCCCATTCTAGATATTAATGAAAAATAATAAAATACTAATAATTCTGTGATTATTAACTAATATCGGTTGAGTAGGAGGGCAAAGGCTTGGTCATTCATTGTACGAGTAAACATTAATTATTAAAAAGCAAGATATAAAATAATTTCATTTATAAAACAAACAAAAAAAGTTAAAAATGTGATTACAAGGACAAATAGCTATAGCATAATACGATTAGCAGTTTAATTTAGGAATTAAACAAGACTGTGTACCCCACTCATGGAAATTTTCGAGCGGTTAACAATAAACAAAAATCTCTTGATAGGATTAGATTAATGATAGGATTAGATTAGAATGAATTATAACATTTATGTGATATTTTTTTTTAAACAAATGTTTAGAAAACAATTCAGTAATTATAAATTGCTCAGTATGCAAATATAAGATAAGGCATCGTTAGTATTAAAAGACAAAATTGCAAACTGTAACAATGTCTTACTCATTAAAGTTGCAACTTATGAATAAGAATAAAACCAGGTTAAATTTACTTCTGTAAATTGTCTAGGGGCAAAATTAATGTAAATGCATGGATATGATCTAGGATATATGTATATTCTCGAAAAAATTCTTTACATCAATTTATAAATAATTTATAACTAATAAATAGAATCCATACAGTAAATATTAAAAGGAGAGTTTTGTAAAAAACTATAAAACGTACAAAACTAGGCTAAACTTCAACGGCAGTTTTTCTAAGAAAATAATTATTCCACTTCTTCATTAATTAGAAAATAAATAATTACATTACATTATTTTTTTAGATATAACTTTCATCCAACCATACAATGATGAGGTATATCATCTACTTCATTCCCAGTTATATCTTTGCCCAGGAATCCATACCAGTTAAAACTCTGTCCACTAAAATCAACCCCTCTCAGTTGTTAATATATTTTTGTAATCAATGGGTCTGCAGAATTTTCATTTCTGAGTTCTTGGTTGATGGTACGGATAAATAAATCCACAACCACTTAACTTTCTTATTATGTATGTAATTGTCTAATAGACCTATCTACGTCTATCCATCATTATCTTTTACATAGATATTGATTTATTTTCTTTTTATCTACCTACAAGTTGGACATATTGAGCAACCTTTCCCTACATAATGGACACATAAGCGTACAAATCAAAAGTAAGTGACCTTGTGTCGCATGGTTCTATCCTAACCCACAGTGCCACTTTCTTTTAATAATTTTTATTACATTCTTAGCGTCACAGGCTGGATCATGGTGAAGGGACCACCTGTCTTATCTGCCTCGTCCACGTTTTCGATAGGCTCCAGATCTATGTGTCCGTGTACCCAAACAACAACCACCATTTTGACAAGCTCCAGTTCTTTCTATAGTATCGTTTCTTTCTGAAAGATATTCTTTGTATGCATATTTGTTATTGTAAAGAATATGTATATATTTTTTGATAGTGTCCATCCTAATTGTGTGGAACTTCATAATATGTTCATTGGTAAGAATTAAAATGGCTTTTCCACAATAGCCTATTTTGTGGTAGACGATGTATTTCTTATCAATCAACATATGTATATATTTCTGATCCAATGTGAATCCAACTTTTGCTAACACCACTGTTCGCTTCCTGTGTTGATTTGTTTCCCAAACTACCTTTTCTGACAATATTTATTTACTAGATTTGGATTAAAGAATAAACATTAAGCCCAATTCTTTATTATGTTAAACTAACACTACTTTATTTCTCTCTGCTGTAAAAAAATTCAAAATATATTGTTTTTATAGTTCTACTTGTGGAGTTTATAGTTTACTAACTAAGAAGTTGCTATATCTTAGTACATTAGTACATTGGCCAAGTTTCTAATTTTATTTTTTGTACTCTCAGAGGCTTTAAGCTCACACGCATATAATGAATGTATTTTATTTCCGAAGCTCCTTAGTACAAGGAACACAGCCTTCATCTCTGCCAAACGTACACCGTGCTGAGGAAGGCAGTGACGTTTCTATCCCCCTTTCTGTGCAAGCGGCGGCAGGGGGGGTCTAGCTAACAAAAGCAAACACCAATTTGATGATTTAACGTGGGATGCTGTAATAAAAACAAATTCTGGTAAAACCTATCAGTAGTAAATGACGCTTTGAGCTTATCACCCTCAGGTTTTTGATCTATCACACATTGTGTCATCTTATGTATAACCGTTTCCTATTTTTTAAACAAATTAGGTTTTTTGTCAAGATTGAACTATTTTTGCAGAACCCCAGAATAGATCAAACAGAGGAAAAATACCTTTAGTTCTGGCAATGGTTGAGTTTTATTTATCATCGGAAACATGATATAAACATTTTCAGTGATTTCACCTGATTATTATTATTTTTTAATTATTACATTAATAACATTCATACCTCAACAAGTCTTGTTATTAATGCATTAAAAAATCAAAGAAGAACAATCAGGAGAAATCGCTGAAAATGTTTATAACTTATATGAAAAGCTTTTGATGATGAATAAACTCAACCAGGGGGCGTCGGTGGCCGCAAGGTTAAGTCTTTGACACGGCGCTCATCACTGTAAGGTAAAGGTCCCGGGTTCGAATCCAGCGGCCCTGCATTCGAACCCGACATACTTACAAATGGGCTTTTTTTCAAAAACACTGGCACCCTGAGGGTTTATATGACCTCTGCTGTTTCGAACCCTCGTTAAAAAAAAAAAATAAAAAATAAACTCAACCAGTGCTGGAAGTAAAAGCGTTTTCCTCCATTTTTTACCTAAGACAAAGTAGTTTCAAGTTATGGTTATTCAGATGGTTAAAACTAATTTTATTAATTTTGCATGCCATGATTTATGTATTTGTATTTATTGCAAAATGAAAGGTTTCATAGGAATAACTGTTTAATTTTTATAAATATAAGTTACAAACGACTGCAGAATGATTTAAATTTGTAAAGGTATACAGACATATGATTATTGCAGGATTTTATTGAAAAATGGAACACTGTCTTAGAGGTGTGATTTAGTATATATAATTGATTGTGATTTAATATATATATTTATATAATTATTTGGAGATCGTGAGATGCGGTCTTGGGTTATCTACATCACACAAGTCAGCATTTCACTATCTCCAGCCATTATTAATAGTACAATCAGTAAGTAAAAAAATGTGTGTCTTATTCTTATATATAAATTTGATGTTAAATTGACCAGAACTAAAAATGTATAATATATACTTTTGTAGAGCCTGGAGGAAGGTACAATAAAGTGCCGAAAGCTAGGAAAAGATTTAAAATTAAAAAGAAAGTTGGTTATCAATGTAACGTAAAATATCGTAATAAGCGTAAGTTATTTGATAAAGCTACAAAACAACTCTCTTTTGTCACTGTCTTATTGCTGCTCAGTACATCAGGGCCTCGTAATTGTGGATAAAATAAGACAAATTACAAACATAAATACAGACACAAGATAAAAACACGACAGCCCGGTTAGCATTAAAATTACCCAAGGGTACTTGATATTCCTCAGCGTAATTGGAGATATGTCCCTTCCATTCACGCTAATAAATTACATTCACACTGCCCCAGAGTACTCGACATTCCTCAGGGTAATTGGGGAAGTTTGTTTAACTACTCAAATTTAGTTTTTAAAATTTTTAAGAACGGTTCCACACAACTTCAAAATAGATGTTAATGAATTGGTTCTAGAATAGTATAAAAATAATCATTTTTCTTGTTTTGCAAGAAACGTTTTTCTGAAATGACGTCACGGGAGTTGCAAATGATTATGCACGATGATTGAATTTGTAGCTTTCCATATGATTAGGGATGAAATCATGAAATGTCAGAATTGGAATAAAAGCGAGTTAGACAATTTCGTTGATGAAATTTCGCAATGCGGTTGCATAAAATTTAAAAAAATATATGTCGCACGAATTGTCGTAAAAGCATTAGTGATAAGTTACAATTAATTAAGATTTTTAGTTGAGATAAAAAAGTCAATGGCAATTGGTCAAACGGACCACGAAATTAGTGAAATTAGTGATAAGAGTTTGCTTTTGTAAACCGGTTTGATTGTGTGTTCTGAAACGGTGTGCTATTTCCAAGAAAGAGTTTCACATCCTTGGGCATTGTTTAATCGTTAAATTACACGTCTTATCATTGTGCACGGTGGACAAATTCATCTTTAACCTCGGCCGACACACCGAATTAGTCACGGGGATGAATCATAAACATCATAAGGATTATTTTATTTAAATTATTTATTTATTAAAAACGAGCAGTTCGTTTTTGTTTGTTTTTTTAATCCCCGGTCGATCGAAATCCGCATCAACATCAATATCGACAAATTGAGCCGAGGGGTGGAATGCCGTGCCGAAAGGACGCGAATCACGGCACGAAAGTTCAAATCGCTGTTTAGGAGCAAAAATAAATCGTGAGCTCGTGCTCGGATGCAGAAAAAACTAGAAACAACTCAAACCCAGGTCTAGCGACACTTGTCAAGGATACAGAATCCTTTTTTTAGTATTAGACGAAATACTAACAATAGAGTCCCGTTTACAATGCAATAATAGAAATTTTATTAAATATTGATTAAAAAAAAGTAAAAGAAAGACATACAAGCTTGTTTTTATAAATTCAGAAGCCCAATGCAAATGTTACTTACGGTTTTATTTATTAAATTTCCCTTAGAAATCGAAGATAGCTATATAAAAAAACTATTATAATTGCGATGTAATTCAATCCAGGTTTTTCACTTTCACTTGATTAACGTTTGTAACGATAAACTAAGGTTGAAAAGAACAAGTTGGGTGTCTGCAGCGAGGTGTGAACCGTTTCGAGGAGTAGGCGTGAGCATAACTGGCCCGTTTTAGATAAGTTCCATGTTCGTCGCCTCGGCCTTTTTCCTTTTCGTCTGATGTAGGAGAGAGTCAAGTCGGTCGGGCGGGCGGGCAGGCAGGCAGGCAGGCAGGCAAGCAGACAAGGCACACTCGCTCACTCACGGCCACACTCACGTCTCACGGCCACCAGTCACCACACCTCCTCGCAGTTCACACCGGGGGACAAACTGACAAAACGACACTCCGGCCAACATAAACCGCAGACGAACTGCCCGACCGGCTATTACTCTTTTTTCTTTCTCGTTTCGCAGTTTTATTGAAAAATGTGAAAAACTGAGCACTGTTTTTTCTTTTTCAAATATAAGAAAAGATATTGAAATAATTTCGGTTGTTTAGCTTCATTTCGCCCCTCCAGCAAAATGTATTTCTCTTAGTCCAACTAGGAAAATTATTATCATTTTTAAATTAAATACTAAAAAAAAATAATTATGAACGTTTCTCATGTTTATTTAATTATCTGATTGCCTAAAACACATATTCGATATCATATTTTCTAATTACATGCATTACCATTTACTGGCCCAGCACTGAAAAAGTGAGAAGTCGGACCCCATGTATAGGCAAAACCACTAAAATTACTTTTTTTATGTGAAAAAACTTCAAAATATCTGCTGTGATTTTTTTTAAAAACAAATATTTGTTTAATGTGCAACCTTCAATTACCTTGATTTTAAAAAAAGTGTATCTTGCTGTTGTGCAAGATGATTTTTATCAGTTTGCATCTTCCATAGTTGGTGGGTCATTTGTTTAGTTATAATTATTTAAACAAGGCTGAAATGACCAAGCTGTCGGATGCCCCTGTCACAAAAAAAAAAAAAAAAAAAAAAAAGGCAGAATGACTGAATGTAAATGAACCAGTAGTTAGTTTTTGAACAATGCAATAATTAGAGGCTCGATTTATTTGTGAAATAAAATATAAAATATGTACATAAATATGTATTTATTTTTAACAAATTGCAAGTAAAAAAAAAAAAAAAAGGAAAGTATGTAAAATAATAAACATTAAGTTATGCATTTTTTACACGAATTTTATAATTTACATACATATATATTAGTAGTATATATAGTTGTAATATAACAAGGCAATACAATAGAAAATAAACCTTTAATATTCAAATTTATTGATAATAACATACATTTTTAAATTTTCATAAATAAAAATTACCTTTCTAGTGCTAAAACAGATGGTATGAAATAAAAATACATTTTTCAAAAAATTAATAAGGATGATACAAGTGTAATTATGAGGTATTTGAAAAATGTGAAAAAGAGATCAAATTTAAAACTTTAATCTTCAAAATTATTTGAAATAATTGACGTTTTAATTTTCAATAGGAAAATCACGTTGATCTGGTGCTAAAATATTTTTGTACGGAATAAAAGAATGTCCCTCATTTACAGTTTTAATGGGAGCCCAATTGAAGGCTGCAATTACATTTAGAGAAATTGGAATTTATTTTTTATATTTTCTTCAATCAAAATAAAAGCAATCTCTTTCTTCGATTAGTCTACCTGGATTTTTTTTTTTTAGCAAATCTGTAACCTTTTGTTTCACTTTATCCCCCATCCTGCCTTAAATTTTTCCCAATTCTGGAAGGCATCTTAGAGTAAATATATTTAAGTAATTTCTTTTGCCTTTTCTAGGGCTACAGCATTTTCTTCAAATTTTGCAATTTTGTCCTTAATTTTTTGAAAAAAATTGCACTAAAGTGCCCGGTGGTTCTCCATCTCGTTATGGCAGGTTGTGGTGGAATTGATAAATCTGACAAGTCATCCTTTAAAACCTCTGCTCACTGCTTTAAGGAACTTTTTATATTTGGTATCAAAGAATCTACTTCTGAAAATTCACTTTCCTCGATTTTTTGTTTTGTTTACATCTTAAACTCGTTAGTTCTATAAAACTCTTCTTATGTTGTTTGCTCATGTTTTAAATTTTCATAATTTTGTTAATTTATTAATATGGGCCAAATTATGTAAATTACGGTGAAATACGTATTATGAAAACGTAAAATCCTCCAAATATTTACAAATATATAAAATACGGTTTATTTGCTTTTAAATGCCATGAAAAATAAAATAAAAGTACCAAAAATGGTGTACAAGGCTCAGAAAAAATATATGCATGCATGTACATCTGGTCCCTAGTAATAATAATATTATGCTGTTTAAAATTTACATAGGACAGTTTTCTTTAAGATATACTAGAAATATAAAATATATTAATTTACCTTTTTTTACTGTTTTCTTTTGTTCTATAGGTCGGGTTGCTTAATTGGGAACAAGTAATTTCCAATGAGAGCAAGGCGCATGCAGAATATTTGTTCAACAGGAGTAAAATATCTCCACCAGAGGAAGTCGAATGCATAGTTCAAAAGAAGTGTATTTGCCAAATTGGGAAAAAATGTGACCGGAACTGGTTATGATGGGGAAAAAATACTACAAAGCATTTATTTATGCTTGGCTTTAAAAAAACCAATATTTCAAAAATGTGCAATTAGAACAAATTCTTTGTAGGATCTATATTTATCCCAAATATATGTTTAGCCTGTGGCATGAGTATAAGCTGATGTTATATTCTGGTCAACATTAATGTTAGAAATGTTTTGATCAATGATTTTGTTCAAAAATCAAATTGATCAACTAATTTTTTTTTTTAATTAACAGACTAACAGATAAATGTTTTTAGTCGACTTATTGTCTATGTACAGTGAGTATACAGCTGTGAGATAAATACATGTTTTTATACTGCACTGTAGCATATATATTTACTCATTTTTATTTATTTCAATCCAACCTGGGCAATAGAATAAATGTAATCATTCATTTTTTCAACAAAATATACAAATATTTACATAAATAAAAATCACTTTTTATACATATTTGCCAAAATGGAAATGATCAATTCTTTTAATCCAAGAGTGGCAGTTTCCGATGTTGTTTTTAATCAAGTACTCAAATGTGTATGGATTTATGTTTTCCTCTTCTTGCTTCTTCTCGAGTAGTTTTCTTTCTTCTAGCATTTCATGGGAAAGGGCTATTGCTTTGAATGGCAAATTTGCAGCGACCACACCCAAGAATCCTTTCACCTTAGGGAAAACATTAAAAGAAATAACTTTTTAAAAAATAGCACGATAACAAAAACTACAAGTTGAACAAAGTAATAAGCAATTACTTCATCAAATTCACATTTTCCTGAGAGCTCAATTATAACTCTTCCAGCTTTGACAGGAGTCACATAGTGATCGATGGAGCCTTTTCCACCTCCCATTCTCTGTCCCTGCCCCTAAATTAAAACAATAAGTGTTAGTTGAGGGCTGAGAGATGATGAACCACCAAACCCTTTTGTCGTCCCATCATCAATGGTTTGTTCCACCATCATCAACAGTTGGTAAAGCATATAAGCAGACAAAACACCAACTCCTTCCAACTACTACATGAAGGCAAAACAATTTCCTCCTTATCAGACACTTTGGTTCAGGAAAAATTATGTCATTCTATCTATATACTTCATAAATTGCTTAGTTGTATTGTGCAAAATGCCAAAACACATTAGAGAGACCAGACCAGTGAGAATTAGATTAGTAATATTGAAGATCGTAAAATGTATTTATGTTATTTAAGATTTTTGTTTTAATATTTATATACTTATGTACTAAAGATTAATACAGGGTGAATTGCTACTCGTGCTACAAACTTCTCCAGTAGATTCTTGACCCTAAAATGAACAAAAAAGTTCATATTGTCCATGGTCCGATTCTCAACCATTTCAGAGTAATTTCGCTTTTTATCGATTTTGAAAGATATCACGTCCTGGCGTCGGAAAATCGTGATATCTTTTAATCTAAACATTTCTCTTAAAATCTATAAGCACCGTTGAAATCCCCGTTAATTTTTAGAGAGAATCAAAATCATAATTCCATTGAAATTTTTTAATTTAATTTAATGCCCATTTAGTATGTAATGCTTAAGAAGTTTACAAACAGCTAGAAGGTCAAGGAAGAAAGACCCAAACGTTTTGCCACCTTCATCTTCTTATTGAAAAATTAACGGGGATTTCAACGGTGCTTATAGATTTTAAGAGAAATGTTTAGATTAAAAGATATCACGATTTTCCGACGCCAGGACGTGATATCTTTCAAAATCGATAAAAAGCGAAATTACTCTGAAATGGTTGAGAATCGGACCATGGTCAATATGAACTTTTTTGTTCATTTTAGGGTCAAGAATCTACTGGTGAAGTTTGTAGCACGAGTAGCAAGTCACTCTCAAACATTAGCAATCCTTGAACCACCATTTTTTCTCTTTTTGTCATCAACATCTTGGTCTCACAACCACTAAATAAGAAAATGACGAGTGCGTTGGAAGCGTTATTAAATCAGGTAGTTTTCCTCAAATTTGCTGCCTTCTGAGACTAAAATTAGAAACTCTGGATTACTTTATACACTTTCCGATTTACACAATTTTCCACTCTTTTTGTAGTTCTGGCTGAAATAAAACACAAAAAATTAGCCCAAACATTTTGCCACCGTCATCTTCTTATTGAAAAATTAACGGGAATTTCAACGGTGCTATTAGATTTTCAGAGAAATGTTTAGATTAAAAGATATCACGATTTTCCGACGCCAGGACGTGATATCTTTCAAAATCGATAAAAAGCGAAATTACTCTGAAATGGTTGAGAATCGGACCATGGACAATATGAACTTTTTTGTTCATTTTAGGGTCAAGAATCTACTGGAGAAGTTTGTAGCACGAGTAGCAATTCACCCTGTATATACCATATTGATATTGAGCATATAAAGATAACTCAACTAACATTTTATTAACGACTTTGAATTAGGATTTATAAAGGCTCAAATCCGCACATATACGTATTTATTAATTATTACTATTATTATTAATAAATTACTACAAATAAATTAGCTTCATTTATTTATTCATTAAGCGAAATAATATTAATACAAGTGCATAAATATAACAGAAAATAAACAAGGCAGATAGCGGCGTAGAGTGGCCTGACTTGAAGCAAATCTCTAAATATTTGTAATCATCTTTATCATCCTCAAAGCCTAATGTTTTTATTATTTTTATTTTATTTTAATTGCCTCATGTCCTATTAGCCAAGAACAGAGTATTGGATGTATAATATTTTATTTATTAGGGGAGAAGTGTAGTGTGAAAAAAAGGCCAGGGGTGCTCCCCCGTGTGCTGGATGTTCATGAATGTTCTAATCTGGGTCGACTAGCATTTCAAAATCATATTGATACTGTCACCATATCCTGATGAAAGTATGCAAAGCACATAAATAAAAATGTTTGCTGAACAACACACAACCCACACAGGATTTTAAGTCATATATCTGTTAATAATGCCCCGTAATATGGGCCAAAGCGTTTTTGTAAAAACAACAGAGAGATTTGCGCCACATTCTGCTCTCGACATGGGCAGTGCTATTGCATGAATACATTTTTTGCGAAGCTCACTCCTCAGGGTTCAACAAACAAAACCATCTTGTATTGACCAGCAAGTTTGCCATGTCCAAACTAATGAGGTAATAATAATAATTTAAAAAAAATAAATAAATAACCATCATTAATCATTTTTAAAATTCAATAATACTAATCCATATATCTTTAGCAGTGATAATTAACTGTATTAATTATTTTAATTAATTATACTCTTTATCTAAGGTCTTGATCGAGATGAAATTTTGAAAAAATTCAAAAACATTCAAAACATTAACATTCAAATCCTGTTCATGCCACTAACTTTTTCAACTCGACCAATACCTTAAATAAAAAGTATAATTAATTAAAATTAAACAATATTTTGGTCAGAAGAAGCTCATTTATTTATTTTTTATCCCTTCAAGTCTTTTGTTCTTGTTGGACATTGTTTTTATAATACTTTAGTCAATTTTTAACCATTCGTCCATTACACTATATTATTATTATTAATTTTATTAATCTTTTTCACAGCATATATATATTTATTTAATGGTTTTCAACTTTTGTTCCATTTTTGCCATAAAATTTGGTTTTATCTAATTAATTTGACCCAATATTTCAGCAAACTACTGTAACATGTTTAACAATGCTGTGAAAAAGATTAATAAAATTAATAATAATAAATTATTCCTCCAATGTGGTGTGCTTTTTGTCTATGGAAATACAATTTGTTTTTAAATTTCATGTTATCTTTTTTTTCTATGTATACTCTGACATTCCAACAGCACTAAATATATACAATTTACATTCATGTGTGAATTTTTTTTCTCAAGAGGTTGGATCAAGTTAACTACTAACAAAACACAGTTTTGTATTTTTTGCTTTACAGATAAAAGGCTTTCTGCGAGCTTTTGGATGGAATCAGATTACTCACAGTTTAGTGAAACTTCTGTCTTGTATTATACATATTAAAACAATGTAATTAAGTTTTGTGAAATTGTATATGTATAATTTTCATTTGAGCAAAATAGCTGTATTAAATTATTGGCCATGTATAACTTGAGCAAAGTCACACCATGTAAGGCGTAAAATATTGAGTGAAAATAATTTCTGATTTGCAGCAAAAATATTATCAATTTTATAGGTGAGAACCTGGCTCAATATAATGGGTCAAAGGCTTCACAAGGGCAAGACATTTGACCAAAACTTTCAGACCACAAAAAAAAAAGAAAAAAAGTCAATGCACCTATTGAACTCCTATAGAAAAAAATTAACAAACCAAAGTTTCATGTTGAGATCTGGGGGAAGCAGGCTTGAAAAATAACACACAAACCCACCACTGAAGATGGCAAAATGCTGAAATGTGTGGCAGACCAAAGTAGTCCAGGATGATCAGACATGGACCAAACTACCAATTAAAGTTTATTAATATATACGTGCCTTTTTTGTAACTGGCTGCCATGGTGCATCGATTCTCCACTGCGTAAACATCCTACTTGTGTCCATTTTCCTACCAATTGTCAACCGTATCATTTCAAAATGGCCAAACTTCAATCTTCCACCGCCCAAGGCCTGGAAAAAAAAACTTTGAAAAGTCAAAAACCAATGAGACTCTAGCAGCTCTAGAAACAAACCACTATGCCATATTGTTGGTGGATAAACGAGTTGTGTATCTCCTCAGGGCCACGCATAAACCTCAAATTCTTCGTCATCTTTGGCATCTTCACATTCCCGTAAGGCTGAGGCACTTTTTCCATGTATTTAGGCTTTCCCTTCTCGGGTATCACAATATCTTTACCACATTACATAAAAATAATATATTAACAATTTAATTATTAAAATAGAAAACAGTGAAATATTTACTGTCATAATTTTTTGGAGGAGAAAAGTATTTGATCCCTCGAATAAACTGTGTTGAATAAATTCTAGGTCCTAAAAAAATAAATAAATAAAAGCAACCTTTGCGATTTCTTAAGTAAAATAGGGTGCTGAATATGACCAGCATTGCAACACTGAATATAAATATTTCAATTAATTATACTTTTTATCCAAGGTCTTGGTTGAGATGAAGAAGTTAGTGTCACGAGAAGGATTCGAACCCTTGACCTTTGGCAGCAGAGTATTGAGCCGAAGTTAGTAGGTTCAAATCCCGCTTGGGACCTTTTTCATCTTAACCTGCAACCTTTCCAATTTTTGCTCTTTTTGTTGTATTTTCAAATATCGTATCGGGATTCGATTGTCAGCGTCCTATGAAGAAGCCAGGAGCTGTTAGTGAAGTAAGTACTTTTGTCAATTTTTATATAAATCCATATATGTATTTAGTAGTCATAATTGACTTATTGATAATTTTAATTAGCTTCTACTGACCATAGTATTGTCTAATTTCAATTATTTATACTTTTTAAGGCCTTGGTTGAGAAGGAAAAGCTAGTGTCGCAAGCAGGATTCAAACCCACGCCCTTCGGCTCAATACGCTACATGATAGAAACATTGTCTGAGGATACTGTAGGAGAGGGATAACTACAGTATCCATAATAATCCATGTATGTTTAGAAGTCATAACTGAATGCATTAATTTTTTTAATTAATTACACATTTTATCTAAGGTCGTGATTGACATGAAAAAGCTAGTGTCACAAGTGGGATTTGAACCCATGACCTTCGGCTCAACACGCTGCTGGCCTTACTACTGAGCCAAAGATTTTTTTTATATTTTTTTTTTATTGACCTTATGATCTTGCATATTAGCCATGGTACGAATTCTTGTGTGTTCAAGTTCAAATTGGGGGTTATCGGGAAAAAAGGGCCAGAGGCGACGGTGGGAATCGAACCCACGACCGCGGCGTGAGAGTCTCTCATGCTAACCACCAAAGATCATGGATTCGAATTTTGCTCGTAACACTAGCTTTTTCATCTCAATCAAGACCTTAGATTAAAAAAAGTATAATTAATTAAAATAATTAATACGGACAATTATGGTTACTAAACATGGACTGAATATAATGCTATTGTCTGTAAACTGAAATGATGGATGTGATAGACGTTGGAATGCTTTGTAGTCCCTTAAAAATTTATCCTGAAGTACATATCGCTAGATAAGACATTCCACTTTCCTTAATTACATCTCAAAGACGCCTCGGCATACTTTCTACCAGTCGGGAAATGTCTCTTTACTGGAGGCTAAGACCCTGATGTTATGCAGTTGAGGGTACGATTGTACTATGTGAGCGACATGTGGACGGGCATTATCGTGCATTAGAATGTCGCTGGTTTCGAGGATAGGCAATGCACGATGTTCCAAAATTTCATCCACATAGCGAGTGACCTTCAAAGACACTCCACAAACAACAACCGACTCTGGGCGACTCTCCATTGAAATTCCCGCCCACACCTTCACTGAGCTATGTTGAAAAGGTCAGCTCTGGGAAAAATAACAAACTTCGAACCTTTCATTTCTTCTTCTCCACACACTTTCATTCCCATCTGGAGATAGAGCAAATCTGCAAATCACTGTAAAAAGTACATCAGTCAATCGCCCAAAGACAAATGGCTGTGTTCTCGAGCAAATGCGAGTAGTGCAACTCAGTGTGTTTTGGTCAATTCTGGTCCTCTTACAGGGCGAAAAGCCATTAATCCGTACTGATTAAATCTTCGAGCAGTGCGTTCAGAAATTTGGACATCTCAAACTTCCTGGAGTTGATAACGCTCGTACAACTGTAAGGTGCCAGTTTCTCAAAATTCTCTAAGTTAAAAAACTGTCATCCTGCTGTTCTGGGCATTCAGAACCAGGCCTTCTGTGATACAACTCAGTTACTCTAAAATGTCTAAAATGGCTTCTCACAGTGCTTCATAGGGAACTCCGATGGCAATACCTGATGGAACATCCATCACCAGTAAGTGCCACACCAGTCACAACATCCTCAGCACTAACTAGCATTTTTAAGTTTAAAAACTGAAATTAAGAAAACAAAGATGAAAACTAAGTTTATTGCCTCAGAATTCAAAACAGACTGAATAAACATTTTAAATTTCATAAAAAGTAAACATTGAAAAATCATGTGTGGTGGTTAGTGACCGTTAGTCAATGATTATTCGGAGATTGCGAGATGCGGTCTGGTGTGACATAGGTTTTAGAAAAATTTGGCTTTCCTTTCCCTAATTATCCCCGTCTATAATCCTGAAAAGATAATCAGGACGAACCATTACCCACGTTTTTTCCCATTGTCGGCTCCTTTCACCTCAAAGAAGCCGACTCCTCATATAAAAATGACTTCCTTCCCTACCCCTTCAAAATCCAATGTATATAAACGTATCAATATCTCACTGGCACTCTCAACACGACACACAAGAATACACAATTATGCAAAAAACAAACACTTTGAGTGAGTACAAATGCTTTGATTGATTGTAAAAAAATTTTTTGCATTGTATAAATTCATTTTTTTCAACATCCTACATGTATTTGTAAAATTTAAACAATGTTTGTAAATCCCAGGCCCTGAAGATGATCTCAATAAAGATCAAAACGTTGGCACGATAAAGAAAATGTTTTTCTAAAACCTACGTCACACCAGACCACATCTCTCGATCTTTGAATCGTGTTTTAGATTGAGGATTAAGTGTGTTTACCTCTAATTGATATTCCCAATTTAAAACATAACTTTATTAATAAAAACAATGAGACAAATTAAGGCAGAATTTTCTTTTATCTAGGAAATGAAAAAAAAATCAGTTGGGTGGAATTTTTTGCCTTGTATATTGTGGAAATCAAAATTTGGAGTGACAGCTTATTTGTCTTTTTTGATCAGTTTGTATCATAGCACGAGACTTTGGTTTAATATGTGGACCTTAACATAGCAGCCTGTCTAGTCCATGTACATCATCAGGGGTAAAAAAATATCAGCCATATAATTCATAGATTAATGTTCTAACAAAATAATATTTCAATAAACTGGATACCTGATTTTGCTATATATTTACAGATTGGAGAAGCAGATGCCATTTTTTATTCTTATTTTTTATTTTTACAAATTAAAGTAGGTTCTTTCCTGAGTAAGTAGAAGTGTAGAACCTCCCCAGATTGATAAATCCTCTACACATAACTGACATCTACAGAAACTTTAGGACATTATCACCTTGACGACCAATTTGAAAGTTGCCACAACAATTCAACAACAAGAATAAAGATTTAGGTTTTAAATTTGATCATTAAATAAATTATATTCGCCTTAATGTATTAATAGAAAGATTTAGGTTTTAAATTGTTGTTTATTTATTGTTGACCAATGTGGAGGGAACGAGTCACGTCTGTCTCAGAACATATTTTCCCAGGGCTTTCTATTTACAAAAACGTCGAACATGAAAACTGGAGAAAACTGGGTAACATTTATTTTATTTTTCGAAAAAGAAATATACTTTTATAAAGCTTGAAATAGTAATATTGTTTCAAAAAGTAATGTATTTAAAAATAGGTATGTACATACAAACAAAAAATTGTTAAATTTATTTTTTAAAAATGGCTATGGATGTCACAATGAATTATTAATAAATAGATTTTACAGTAAAATGATCCTGGATTTACCATAAAATAAATTTAGATGCCATACAATAATATTTATGATAAAGCAAACATAGACTTTGCGAGAAGATAAACATGTATTTCAACCTAAAAAAAACAAAACAGCGAATTTAATTTAAAAAATAAATATGAATATTATTTTAAATTAATTATAAAATTTGCAATGAAGTTGTAGGGTTTAGTTTGAAAAAACGATATAAATTTAGGGGACTACAGTGGCTGAGTGGTGAGAGCATCCAACTTGGTTTCAATCCTGGCAAATCTCATGGAATTTTAATTGAGAATAGCATGGCAGGAATTACTTCAGTTAATTTTCTTTACAATATGGATTTCACAATAATTATTAACAAGGGTTTTACGATCAAATAATTTGTGTACATACTTTGTTTAAATTTTGTTAGAATAATGCCAAATTTCTATGAAGTTCAGTTGGTGTACTAATTGTTAAATTAAAATGTGGCATTGCCTTATTTGTACTGACCCCTAAGCGATTTCGTTGTTGTCATATTTATGCTTAAGCGCCCATGTTTGAAAGACTTGTTTTGTGTTCTTACACTAGTTTAAAATTATAATTATTATTTTACAAGGGTATTTCAACTACGAGGTTATTTGAACCTCGGGGTGTTGGTATTTTTGAAAAAGCCCATTTGTATGCAAGGCCATTGGATTCGAACCCGGGACCTTTACCTTACAGTAATGAGCGCCATGTCCACCATAAACCATTGCGGCCACTGATTATATTATTTGTATAATTGTTTAAATACAAAGTACTGAATGATTGAAATGGCAGTCATTTTTTACAAGTCTTTTTAGGGTTTATGACCCATAATGGTTATGATTATACCCAGGTGTATTAGCAATTTAACTAGAAGTTTGCTGTACAACATACAGCTTCTGTATTATTCTTTCTTATCTATAAATTTGTCGAGGTACATAGCTCGAGTATAGAATTTAATAAAATTAGCAAGTTCATCCTATTATTTTCAGGTTTGGCTAATACTCAGTTTGCCTCGTAACAAAACAATTTTATGTTTAAAGTGGTTTTCTAAAAAATAAAAAAATCCTTTTTCAGGATCAGAAGTCTTGTCTCATTTTCCGTTGCAGATAACTCTTTATTTTAATGTTATATTCTTCCCCTTTTGGGTGATTGTCATGTTGGCAATGTTGCCTTTAAAGGTAAGGAAAACTGTAAAACAGATAAAATCAACAAAGATGTCAGTATACTTCTTTTTACAGTACAGCAAATTAAGTGGCCTATTCCAGTTCTTACTTGTGCTTACGTTGGCGTCCAGCATTGTCATTGAATTTGTTAGACTTTACATGGGATTCATAGGAAATCTAAAAGAAAAAGTAAGCTATTTTGTTTGATCGATTATGAGAATATTTATTTATTTATTTATTTTTTTTCAGATTCCAGAGATCGCAAGTTTTTGGCTTATATCAGTTCTTCTTCAGACACCGCTGCAGTTTTTTCTCCTTCTCTGCTTTAAACTGAATCCATCAATACTAGAAACGATAATGCAGTGCATAATGTGCATTTTTCTTATCACTCAACTTATATTCGGGTTTTTAGCATTGAGAAGGTCAGCTAAACAGTCAGCCAAAGCTTTTCATCTTTCGAACTTCCAGTACATTGATACGATGGCCGAATACAAATGATTTTTTCTTTACACTTGTTTGATTCCTTATAACTTTGAAAGTTTGTTGACTGTATGCAAGAATTCTATGACAATTCTTAGAATAAACATCTTAAGTTAAAATCAAGAGTTTTCACCCAAAGAAAAATAAAAGGTAATGTTAAAAATATCATATGGATTGTAAATATAAAAAAAGTAATTGTGTTTTGATTCAATTTATATCTAATTCAAGTGAGTTGTTTAAGTGGGATAAAAATTTCTTCAATGTCCCTTCAAAGCTAGCTATCCTGAAAAAGACACTTTCCACAGTTTCCTTTACATTGTCCTTGAGGGCTTCGACTACTTTCAATGTCGGTGGAGAGTGTGTTAAAAGAGACTGAAATTAGGCAGGTCAGTTTAATTTGAGAAAATTGGATTCATTTTATACCTCGAATATCTGTTGGTCCAACCATGAGTGGTAACTACGGAGGTGGTAAATATATGCCATCCGTATTAATGGTGCGAGGGATCCCGTTAAATAACCATGTTTTCTCGCATGTAACATGAGACATAATGTAGTCTGAAAGCATCTCAGGCATCTCAAAAAAATATACATTTCTTTTTAAATTTATTTTAAAGGTGATCATATATCGTTGTAAACAATGTATACCTATTAATCCATAAGACAGCTTCAGTCAATTTCTTTGCGCCAGTTGTATTAGCATAACACAAGAGGCCTTTTAAATCATCAAACAAACCTGCAGATTCATGGCTTGATTGTAAAACCTGGAATTTAGATCCATTTTGATTATAATTAAATTTTGCATTAACTTATTACCAACATTAATGTCCTGCTTCAATTCGTATACCAATGACTTGAACGATGGACCAAATACGTCTATAAATTTATGGAATATTTAATTTTTCAAGAAATTTTCAATTATAAAGGTGAAATACTTAATAGAGGTATGATTTGCTCAACAATATCGATGAATTCAATTACAGAAATTGTATATCCATTTTGCTGAGAAATAAATCTGTCTATAGTTCCTAGATTGTATTGTCTATATGGAAAGGTGTTCAGCTCCATCAGAAATTCAAACACAAAAAATTTAAATTTTAAACATTTCCGAAATTGATTAATTATTATAAGGAAGCAGTTTTTGTTGATTTGATCATCTGAGAATTTTACAATTCCTGCATTTTTTCAAAATCAATTGTTTAATTTTTTGCATTATTTATCGCATGTTTATTTGTTAAAAAATAGCTATTCAAACTGAATTCATTTAAATAAAATATGTAACTAAATTTTAAAAAAAGTTTAGAATGTATTTTACACACAAGTTGTAAACTTATTTTATTGTTTATTATATTTGAATAAAATTATTATTTTAATGTAGTTTTTTTGTACATATATTTTATGACTAATTACTTTATAATATATAATATTTATTACAAGACTTGTAAAAAGCGTTTTTATTATAATAATTACACCTATATTAGAAAATACTTTAGGCTTAAATTCAGGGCCACTGAGATTCGAACCCGGAACCCTTACAGTGTTCAGTTGCGTTAGACATTGCTATTGGCACCCCTTCTCTAACACTGCTATTATTATTATTATCTTAATTACTATGCAAACCCAGAGTATAGTTAGGAAAGATTAATTCAATAATTTGTCATCAACCATGCAAAACAATAATATACACGAACCCTCTGGATCAAGTTAAGTTCTTTAAGAAAAAAACAAAGCAGTTGTTACTGAATTCAATCTATTTTCAGTTACCTTTAGGACTGAGTCGGTCTTCGAGGAAATTTGAGATCACCTGTAAAACTTAAATATGCCAATATGTAGACCTGTTTCAGATTGTTTTGCCCTGATCATGACCTTAAATGTGTCAAAAGCTTCACAGTAACAACTGAATTTGCTTTTTTCTTCAAAACCATAAGAATTCGTGATTGAAAAAGTGGTCGATATTTCTAACATTGAAAAAAAAAAAAAAATGTTTGATGCAATATATAAAGTTAGAAGAATACTGGACATTATAGTTAATTGATATAATAAAAAAGTTAATTACATTTTGTAAAGTAACTTAAAAAAAGTAAATGTAAAGCAATTTACAATGTAATTAAATTTAAGTAAAATAAAGGTAATAACTAAAATAGAAAACAGATAATTTACATGTAAGGAATTTTAGAATTAAGAATTTCAAGGTGCCAATGTCAGTGATTATCGAGCTCCCAGTGCATGTTCAAAAAAATGTTAAAACTAATTAGGCCTTTATTAGATAAAACTTTGTTTAAATATAGAATATTATTGCTGAAAAGTTACTACTGCTTACACATGAAATTCAATATGTTTAACAATACTAAGACATTTTAATTAATTAAACTTTTTATCTAAGGTCTTGGTTGAGATGAAAAACTAGTGTCATGAGCAGGATTTGAACCCACAACCTTTGGCTGCTGAAGGTCGCGGGTTCAAATCCCTCTTGTTTCACTAGCTTTTCATTTCAACCAAGACCTTAAATTAAAAGTATAATTAATTAAAATAATTAATATAGTCAATTATGACTACTAAATACACATATAGATTAAGATAATAAGACTATTTTATTGCGAATTAATAGTTTAGAAAGAATAGGTTTTTTATTAAGCTTGTTAAACTGCACCTTATAATTTGGCTATTAAAAAAAACTCTTTAATTTTATTTATTTATTATTTTTCTTTTAAATGATTAAAGCACTAATTGAACTTTTGAATAAAAAAGACATTATGTTCATAGAAGTGCATCAAATATATATAAATCCAGAATTCGAATGCAGAGGACCAATTAAAAAAAAAAATCAATTTTGATTTTTTAAAATATTTTATTTATTTTTTGAATTCAGAAATATCCTTATTTACTCATGTTCAAATAAAATTGTGCACACGCATAGGCACGGTTTTAATTGTCCTAATCTGACCTTTTTTACTTCATCAATAAACTTGGATAATTATTCAAATGAGAAAAATCAATTTTAACTGAATAATATATAGTAATTTTTATTTTATGAACTAATTAGATCTAAAGAATTTTCTAACCAATTTCTTAACAAAATGGCTCTCAGTCTAGACTTTCTAACATTTTCTTAATCAATATAATTAAGTATTAATAGCACAAAATAGTTTTCTATTGGATGAATAAATTAATGATTCATCTTTGAAATTGTCCATAGTCGATTTGCATTAGATTGTTAGTTTTATTTTTATAACTTTAATCAATTCAAATGTTTGAATCTAAAAAAATAATTAGAGTAAATTAATTAATGTGTTTGACCCTGTTGGATTTTTTCTTCTAACAGAGGGTAAAATATTTATCTTACGTGTATTGTTTCAAATAAAATTTAATAAGGATAGTGAGAAGTTATGGTCTGGTTGAAAACGATAAAAAAAAGGAAATGGGAAATTTTGTCGTCGTATCTGGACAATGGATTGACAAGATCGGTCGGGAGCAGAGACTCAGCTCAGAGAGTCAGTCACCACTGGTCTCGGGCCTTGTCAGTCGCCACAGATCAGTTTTCACTGCTCACTTCAGTGCTCGTCGACGATAGCCTAATCTCTCGAAACTCCGCGTCGAGACGGGTGCGCCGCCATGTTTTCAGTTTGAGTCTCGCCCCGGCCCGTTCGCGTCTCTCGCCCGTCCTTACTCCTCGAAAGTTTTCGACGACAAATGACAAATCGGCCGACATCTCGATAGAAGAATGGTCCATCCAATTTTAATAAGGACGAAATTGAAGGAGCTCGTAGATTTCGGCCCGGCTAGATGAAGAAATACGTGAGAAAATGGTGAGTGGGACGGCCGTATATCAGACCGTACCTTTTGTTATCCAACATGGCCGACCGGCCCTGGGCACACGGCTCTCATCCACATCCGAAATCATTTTCCTCGTCGGTTTCCGACTCCTTTCCAGGCGGATGCGGCCTGTTTTCATCGTTTTTCTCGCTTTTTCGACAAGGGACGCCTTTTTTCGCTATATCCCACTCGTTCCGGTGCAAAATCGAACGATTTAATTTTTCCGCCTTGTTCGATTTTAAATTTGACACTTTTTCCCCAATTTTCTTCAAATACTGATTATCGTAGATAGCAAATTGTTTTTTTTTAACATTCCTGACTACGGCTATATCATCTTCGGCGTCCTCTTCTTTTCTCCTCCTGAACAGGAATGACATTCAAATACAAGAAAATGCTCAACTTTTTGTATATAAATATTAAATCTTTTTATACCTTGGAATCGTTGAAAATCGAAGCAGCTGTGGTTTTATTTCTCACAAATTTGAAAATCAATTCATTGGCCGACTTTCCGTGAATTGCGAACCGTGACGAGGACGTTCCTGATCGTAAGTCGTATCCCATTTTCGGACCGCTTCCGCCCGGTTTCTTTTTTTCCCTACAGCTGTTGAATTTTCTATTTTTCCCAGTAAACAATCCTCACAGGCTTATATTATTAATATTTGGTCTTTTTCTACTGCTGGAAAGGCTTGTTTCTCCCTCTCTCTTTTGTACTTGGTTTTTTATCCCTTAGCTCCGTTTCAATTTTGTTTTCTTTCTTCTTTTTTTAAAAGATTATTGCAATTTTAAAAACTTTTTTTAAGCTTTGGGGCAAAATTTCTTCTTGAGCTGAACCAGGGTGTAATTAGTAATATTTTTTCTAACCGATACACTTTTATTTTGGTCACAGTTTGTTATTTTATTGTTTTGAAAGTGAACATATAAATTGATGCTATATTTGTGGATGCTGGACAGGTAGCCATTTAAAAATTAATTCCATCTTTTAGACAGTTTTCATTTTTATTTAATTATTAAAATAATAAATAATTAATGATCTATTAGAGTAATAAATAATTATAACTGCCTTAATTTCAATGACAAAAATGTAATTGTTAAGCAGATTATTCCAAATTATATAGCAAAAGACAAGATTAATATTTTTTTATCTTTAAATAACCTTAAAAAAATAAAATAAATTTAAAGGAATTGTTATTATTGAGTTTAGATTTGCAGAATACAGTCAACGTACTGTTCATAATTTTACTTGCACTGATCCCAAAAGTACACATTTCCTACTGTCCTTAACTTAATATAAGTTTAAACTATTGTATATATTAATCCTTGTATGCATTTAATAGACATAATTGTCTGTATTAATTACACTTTTTATCTAAGGTCTTGGTTGAGATGAATCCCATAGTTTTGAATCTTGCTCGTGTCACTAGCTAGACTAGCTTTGTCATCTTCAGATAAAAACTATAATTAATTTTTCTATTGTATATATTTCAATCACTTCTGAAAATCCTGGACTGCTTTCGACGATTAATAGTTAATTTTTTGTAGAACTTGAGCTTAATTTTGATAAATAATTTTAAATATTACTGATCATTTTCCACCATTCTGTACCATAATCGTGCACTTTAATTCTGGAACTGTTACTTAAATTAAAAATAAATATACGACTCGTTGCCCCTTTTATGTTTTGTTTTCAATGTTAGAAGTATCGACCACTTTTTCACTCATGATCACTAGATCAAGGTATGGTGTTGAAAAAAAAAGAAAAAAAAGGAAATTTGAGATTGCCTTTAAAAAAAACTTAATTATGTCAATCTGTAGACATATTTAAGATATTGCTCTGATGATGACCTTAAAATAGATCGAAAGCTTGGCAATAACGACTGAATTTCCTTTTGAGATTTGTTCGTTAGTCATTTTTGTTTATTTTTATTTTAAGTAAATTTAAGTTTAAAGTTTTTTTCCCACTATAATTTTGTAGTTTAGTCACATCTTATCAGCCATCTTTGCTGTTTTAGTCTGTCAGACACATTTTGGCATTTTTCAGAAGATTTTTATTAGGGACATAAACAGGGCAAGGCATGACATCGGCTCATTCAATTTTACATTTGTGAGGACAGTCCTATTCATTGTTCAATTTGACACAGGCTAAATTAGCATAAATTGTACGAGTCGGTGTATTATCCTGACTAAATGTAATTAGACTTGTTTGGATATTTTGCCATCTGGTGAAAACGGTCGGAATGAAATGATCAAAACTACTGACAAAAGTTAAATGTACATAATTAACCAAATGATTAAAGAATTAAAATTATGAATCTTCCTGAATTTACATCAGGTGATTATATTTGATTATGATATATAAAGTTTTGCATTATAAAATCAGGGATAAAACCCATTTGAAAGAACAGAAAAACACTCAGTTCCTTCATCCAGGTTTCAAGGGATATATCACCTTCATCAGGATTTAAAAAAAAATATTATTATTAATAATTCCTTAGATTAACAAACATAAAAATTTATGCACAGTACTGCATCTACTTACAGTACTAAAGCTTATGGTTTCATACATAGTGAATTTCTGAGTTGATTGCAGAATGAAATGTCTTGATGAAGTGGATATATTCTTGAAAGCTTGATAAAATAAGTTTTTTTTCTCTTCAAATATCCTTGATTTTTCATATTAACTTTCTATATTTAAAGCTTATATAAATTGTGATGAGTTAATTACAAAATTCCAGGATTTAAACAATAAAAATGAGTATTTATTTATTTATTTACAGGCACTAGCCCATTTTATTACAATAATTAAAACAAAGAACGAATTTTTAAAACATGGAAAACATTGAAATATTGAACATTGATAATAATCGTAAATTGATTATTTAATTAATTTTAAATTTATTATTATTTAATTGATTATACATACATGTATATAACCCCAACAACAATCAACCAGCACATCCAGTATTCATACACATATACACACACATAAACTTAGGAAAATACAAATCAAAACACAAGAACACAAATTTAGGATCATTAGGTTTGACAGAACTTGTTCATCAGTACCGATCAACAGGTTCATCACTCCACACACCACATGGAGATCTCTCACAATTCTTAGTTATAAGTCAAAATAAAGAAATATTTATATTTATGCAAAAGTTTCCATCAACATTTACATGGATTGTGATAAAATATTGTCAGATAGTATCCTAAGAGTTGATTTCTGAAATGACTTCTAATTATTGCTTGATCTAAATAATCTTGATCTAATCAAAACAAGACTATATTTGAAAATAGGGATCCATTTTTCAGTTTGTCAACTTGTCAGACATGTTAAGTTTGTTAAGTTTTCTTTTAATATTTATTGTGCTTTTTTTTCCAGAATTTGATATGAGTGAAACACATTCTGGCTTGGTCAAGCCACTTCTTCAAAAGCCCCCAACAGTAGGAGCTCAATTGCTCCCCTTGGTTCCTGCCCCAACCACCCAACAGGTACCTTATCATTTATTTAAGGTTTTTTTTTTAAGCTTGAATAATTTTACTTTTTTGTAAACATAGGGTGCACCAGCGATGACACGGTTGGGGACAGTGAACCAAGGGGGGTGGATTCCGGTGAGATCGGCGTCAAACAACGGAGGAGGAGACTCGTCCATGATGTCAGCGCTGCTGAATCAGGCCAACTCCCACCCAAATTTGACTAACACGCTAACCTCGCCCAACTCTAGAAAGCGCAAAACGACCACAGATGACCTGGTCGCATTGCGCAGAAAGGTGGCTGAAAATCACAGTTTACAGTTGAAGAGGCTGCAGAGCCGCTATGCCGAAAACTCAGCTTTGTTGTGTTTCCTTCAAGGCAATTTCAGTATCAATGAATATGCCATTTGGAGGCAGAGACTTCCACCGGGGCAGTTAATAAATTTCCTTAAATTGAATAAGTTAAACCCTTCTGACGAAAATGAAGATTTGTTCGAAATTTTACAATCACAAATAAAATCCTCAAATCAGCTTTCTCATTCCCCTCCCAAGGCTAATCAACTAGGTAATTATTTTTAAATATTAAAAAAAAAATATTTTGCTACAAAGTTTTTGCATTGATTTTTTTTTTTTAGATCAAAAGTTTATTTTGCCTGATAAAAGTTCAAGTTCTACTGCAATTTCTAAAACTTCAACTCCTACAAAGAGCACTAGTCATGGAAGCCTGCCTGAAAATTCAATTTCAAGTCAGGAGCAAATTGTTGAGCGCGCCAAACAGGTATTTTGTTATTTCTAAATCATTCTAAATTCTTTATTTATTAGGGGGTGCTTTATTGTTGTTAAGATATATGTGTGGTATTTTGACCGTTAATTAATGATTATTTGGAGTTTATGAGATGCGGTCTGGTGTGACGTAGGTTTAGAAAAAAATTTTCTTTATAATTATGATTTTACATCTTCTTTATAATTATCATTTTATTATGACTTTATATATATGATTATAATTTTTAAAATTTATTTTTTTTATGATAATTTGAAGAACAATATCGCATACTACATATTTTTTAATGTTCGGGTTATATTCCCATCTTTGTAATACATATATAATTAGAACAGCAATTTCAGTTATTATTAGATGATGAAGATGAGTTCAAATCCGAAATGTTTAAAAATAAATGTACTGTAATTCTTATTAAATGAATATATTAATTACCCTGTTAAACATGATTGGTTTTTTTTCTCAGGAGGCGTACGTTATGCAGAGGATAGGCGAATTGCAAAAGGACGGTCTGTGGGCTGAGAAACGGTTGCCAAAAGTGCACGAACTCTCAAGGACAAAAGCCCATTGGGATTATCTTATCGAGGAGATGACTTGGCTCGCTGCTGATTTCGCACAAGAAAGAAAATGGAAAAAAGCAGCTGCAAAAAAGGTAATTTGTGGCTTATTAACAAATTAAAAAAATATATGGGGCTGAACTATTTCAGACTCCTGTCAGAAGGTTTTGGCAGTTGCTCCTCTGCTTTTTTCAAATCAAAGCATCCCTTAGACAAATGATCGTACAATCTAACAAAATTATGGTGACATCGGTGTATAAAATGCTCCAAAGCAGTGGAAATCTTTCCTTCATCGCTAAAGCCTAGTACGCACTAGGATTCTTTGAATCGATTCATGTTGCGGGGCTGCATAGATTCATTGTTCTGATGCAACCCCGACTCTGCTCCGCGACAAAGAACCGTGTCCAGACCAAGATTCAGATCACATTCATCAGTGCCTGCAAAAATGACGGAGGAACTAGCTCTCTTGGGAATTTCTCTTGCTCTTTTTTGCATTGCACGTAGTGCATCCAATTGGAAGTGCATTAAAAAACTGTCCTTTTAAAGTGTGCATTTCTTTTTTCAATTCCTGATTTCTGTATTCCGTGAATGATATATCCATATAAACACCGATGGGAATGCATACCTTCAATAAACTGTAAAGTCAACTCGGTACTCCACAACATACCTTTATACAAGACACTATCAAAATCTTCAAGAAAACACTCACTAGAATGTCAATTAAACAAATTTAAGCAAGAGCGCTTGTTCCGATTCACGTCCGCACTAGCAAATGTTACGCAACATTGAGTCAAAGAATTCCACATCAAATGGGATTCAAGAGTCTGAAAATGCTAGCCTACAACACACCAGATTCATCTAATGAGTCGGGGCAGCCTGTACTCAGACTAGACGCAGCTGAGACTCTCCGGAGATTCAAGAATCCCAGTGCGTACTTACCTTTTCTGAATGGCATACCAAAACTTACCTGATTAAGTAAATAAACCAAATACTTTGTTGGTAAATAAAATCTACCAACTCCTTCAACTTTGATGTCACATAGAATTCTTTTAAATTTTCCAAGGTCAAGTTTTAGGATCAAAACTCGGGCCTGTTCATCTTCGGCCTGTCAAATTTGTGAAGCAGTATCACTAAAAAAACAACAGCTGCTGGCAAGATGTCAATGATGCCTTCTTCAAAGGCTTCAATGAAAATATTTTCCCTAAATATTTGATTGCAAGAGATGTGCTTATTGTCATAATGCTTTTGTAGACAATTTCACTTATATATATTTAACGTTTGCGTTGTTTAAAATGTGGTTACAGTGTGCAAAAATGGTGCAGAAATATTTCCAAGAGAAAGAGGTTCTTGCCCAAAAGGCTGTAAAAGCTCAGGAAATGCAGTTGAAGAGAATAGCTAGTTTTATAGCTAAGGAAATTAAAACGTTTTGGGGAAATGTGGAAAAGGTATAACAGTGGATTTTCAAAAACTTACTGCATAAACTAATAATAATTTATTTAATTTTTTGTTTGTTTTTAGTTAGTGGAATTTAAAACCCAAACAAGGCTTGAGGAGAAAAGGAAAAAAGCACTGGATCAACATCTCAGTTTCATCGTTGACCAAACTGAGAAATATTCCAGTTTGGTAGCTGAATCTATGAACACTTCTAGGCCAACGTCACCAAAGCATCATTCAGACAGTAATACAATATTAATATTCCTTATTTGAATTCAAATATATTAATTAATTTCTCAACAGTGGAATTTGAGCCTGAAGGGTCTTCTGATGATGATGAAGAGACCATCGCTAAAGAAGAAGCTCTGTCGGCCATTGACAAAGAATCTGCAATAGAAGAGATTGATGCTTTGAAACGTGAGAGCGAACTTCCTCTTGAAGATCTTCTTTCTGATTATTTATCAAAGCGTGACTCCCTTGGTTCACCGACTTCATCTAAGTACGATGATGAAGAAGATGATGAAGATGTAAATGTTTTAGAATTAAACTTTTTATAACTTGGTTTGATTTTTTTTTCATTGTAGGAGAAAGACATAAAATCATTGTCTGACAATGATTTTAGGGCCTCTGATAAAGACTCAAGTGATGATGAAGAGACTATTCAAGAAGAAGAAAAACTGGAGGGAAAGGTCAACTATAAACAGGAAATCGACGAGCTCAAGGTTTATATATCTTAATGTGTTTCTATGTGTATATATGTGTAACGAAATTTAAATTTATATTAATTTTAGGCTGAGGGTGATATGAGCTTGGAAGAGTTAAAGGCAAAGTATGGAGTCCAGGAAGACAAAATGAACAGTAAGTAATATACAAAGTAATAAATGATTAGCGATATTAATAGTAAGCATTGTAGGCTCACAAGATGAAAAGATGGATCTAGATGAAGATTCAGATGATATGGATGAGGATGAAAATGAATCTGAAGAGGTTGATATCGAAGACGACGAAGATATTGAGGAGGACCTGAGTGGAGATAGTGAGCTGGAAGAAGAATCAGGTCTGAAATCTCTTCTGAACGATGGTGTAAATATTGATGTGAGTATATATAGTTTATCTTAACGGATGTTAACAAAAAATGAAAACAATAATTAAAATCATTGCGAGATTACTTATTGACTATAATCATTTCTAATCATCCTGCCGGTCTGTCGTAGCTGATGATGACTATTCTTTTGCGATCGCAAATGAGCAGGTTGTGTTCTCTCACTCTGCTTATATATAAACCTGACTATCCATTAAAGATTGTGAAATTCCAAAACCAAGCGAGGTCGTGTTGAGCAAAATTTAAAGAAAGACCCATATTAAACGATAATCATACTTAATATTGATTGTGCCTGTTAACTGTTTATTTCATTTAGTTTAAATGTTTTAAAATTTTAATAATTGTTTAATACTGTTTCAGCAGAAATCATCCACTGATAAGGACAAGGAAATTAATGATGTTGCTGCAATTGCTGAGAGTCTTCAGCCTAAAGGAAATACTTTATCTTCAACTAGCGTAAGTTCATGACAGCACAAATTTTAAAATTGAAAGGAATTGGTATCTCAGGGACCAAAGATAGCTCATTGGTAGAGCAACAATGTACTAATTTGGATTTTGTGGGTTCAAGTCCTACTCGTGACACTTAATTTTTCATCTCAATCTCATTTAAATTAAAAAAAAAAAATGTTTGTTAATTTCAGGTTGTCACGAGGATTCCATTTTTATTAAAACACCCACTTCGTGAGTATCAACACATAGGTCTGGATTGGCTGGTAACCATGTACGAACGTAAATTAAACGGGATCCTTGCTGATGAAATGGGCTTAGGAAAGACCATACAGACCATAGCGCTAATTGCCCACTTGGCATGCGAAAAAGGTATGTTGGATTAATTAAATATTTAAAATTTCAATTTTAACAATGATCATCAATTTCCAGGCAATTGGGGTCCTCATTTAATAGTTGTACCTACGTCTGTCATGCTCAACTGGGAAATGGAATTCAAAAAGTGGTGCCCTGCTTTTAAAATCCTCACATATTACGGTTCACAAAAAGAGAGAAAATTAAAAAGATCTGGTTTGTTATAGTTTTCTTTGGTTCTTTCTTAAAATTAATTAATCAATTAATTAATTCATTTTTTCTTTAGGCTGGACGAAAACAAATGCTTTTCATATTTGTATTACTTCTTATAAACTAGTCATTCAAGACCATCAGAGTTTTAGAAGAAAAAAATGGAAATACCTGATTTTAGATGAGGCTCAGAATATCAAAAATTTCAAATCACAGCGGTGGCAGCTTCTTCTCAATTTTCAAACGCAGAGGTAAATTTTTTGTTCTCTCGAAAATTCAGTAAAACTGTAATTGCAACATTTTAAAATAACGATGTTTTCTTATATTTCTTAAACGTTTTCTTTTATATATTTATTATTTTTATATGTTCAAGAAGGAAAAATCATAAGTTTAATTTTAAAATAACCTCTTTCAGGCGGTTACTCCTCACAGGAACACCCCTTCAGAACAACCTTATGGAATTGTGGTCGTTGATGCACTTCCTCATGCCGAATGTCTTCGAGTCGCACCGAGAGTTCAAAGAATGGTTTTCAAATCCTGTAACCGGTATGATAGAAGGAAATGCTGAATATAATGAGAATATAATAAAACGATTACACAAGGTATGAATGTAATTGGTTTATATGGAAAAAAAAGAAGCTTTTTTGAACATTACAAATAGGCTGTAAATAAATGGCAGTCGTATGCACCAACGATCAATTGTTATGTCTTGTGATTATACAATTTTTGCAGTGGTGCTATAGTAATTTATTTTCTAAGTAGTTACTTTTTTTACATTTGTTTCTGTCAAGTGTAAAATTATACTGCTTATACAAGTTAGAAAAATAAATAATAAAGTTAATAAAATTTACATACCTTTATACAGTCGATTCTTGATAATTTGAAACCCAAGGGATCATAAAAATAGTCAGAATTCTCAAGAGGAAAAAATTGTTAAGAGTTTATATGCATTTTTCTCCAAGTTATTACTTAAATTTTACATATATAAAACAAAAAGTGGAAAGAGATCAACTATAAAATTGAAAATTGTTATGCATTATTTAAAAATAATTGTGAAGTTGTTTTTGTTTCAATGTGCCTGGCATCCTTTTTTTTAAAAATGATTTTCTGAAGTGAGTGCTGAGAAAACATGGACAAAACACTGACCGCGGAACATAATAAACTAAAGAAAATTCAAAGAAACTTTAGGCTGTAAGGAAGTAACCAAGAAGGCGAAGCAATTGAGAGGAATGTAACAAAGAAAAAGCACAATTTGTAAAGATGGGGAAGTGGCTTCATTTCAATTATTTTTTTCTCCCCTTGTTACAAAAAATATTCTTTATTACCGAGTGTATCAAAATGTACTGAATTTTTTCGATTTACTGACCTGCTGAGGAGTTAGTATAATCAAGAAATTTGAATTATCAAGTTTCATATTAACAAGAGTCGACTGTATATAAATATTACATAAATTCCAATACTTATATATACTCATGGATGTACTCATACTTGTGTTTAAGGTTCTAAGGCCATTCTTGCTTCGAAGGTTGAAATCTGAAGTTGAAACCCAAATGCCAAAGAAATATGAGCACATTGTAATGTGCAGATTGTCAAACAGACAGCGTTATCTGTATGATGACTTCATGTCTAGAGCAAAGTAAATATTTAACAGTTTTGTTTTAAAAAAGGGGCTGAATTTTAAATATGTTACAGGACAAAAGAAACGCTGGCATCAGGAAACTTACTGAGCGTCATAAATGTTCTTATGCAACTGAGAAAAGTTTGCAACCATCCAAATCTTTTTGAAGTTCGTCCTACCATTTCTCCATTTCAAATGGAGGGATTGAATGTCCCAATACCTTCTCTTGTATGGGGAGCTCTAGATTACCGGCCTACAAAGGTTCAAAAAATAAAATATATATGTCAATAAATAGCATAAACCAGAATATTTTATTACAAACTTTTTTTTAGGATGTAGATCTGTCTGCTTTAAATCTGCGATTGATTGATTATGAACTCTGGCTACTTGCTTTTATCGCTCACAGGTCTAGGAAGTTCAAAACCCGTTCAGAACTCATTCAGGGGATTGATGAAGCGCCTCCAGATCCTCCACCCTGTCCAAAGGGTAGAGTTAAAATTCAAATAAAGAGAAAGCCATACCCTCCTCCCACTGTATGTCGTTAACATACATAATATCACTTTTAAAATATAAACATATGTATTAATGGTTTCCATTAAATTTTTAGATAGTAGCAGCAGCCACAGCACAAACGCAAAACAAAACCACTTTTGTACAAGTGGCTTCGACAGGCAATAACCATAGGTACATAGCATCTCTCCCAGCAACAAAAGTAGGAACTTCCCCGATAATCAAATCAATTGTGGGCTCAGGAAATCAAGGTAATTGCCTTTTTTCTGTAATCAGATTTGGTATGTTACATTTGTCTATTTTTTAGGTGTGACGTTAAGGTTTGCTAATCCAACAAGTCAGCAGCCACAGTACGTCCAATTACTTCAGCAGCCTGGAGGAGGTGTAAAAGGTACTATCCTAATTTATTTATTTATTTCGTACATGCTAGTTCTTAAAACGGTCCAACAAGCTTAGTTTAGTGAACTTAACACTTTAGTCTGTGAAAATGCCACTTTTTATTTAGTACACTAGTGATCTTTTATTCTTCTAATCTTTTTACTTTTTGATGATTACGCTACCAAATTGTTATAGAAATTTTTAATTTTAAATAAAGTAACTCTAAATACTGTGAAAAATACCAATAATTTTTTTTTTGAAGCAATTTCAGTTGCTTCCTTAACAAGTACTGGCCAGGTTGTGAAAACGACTGACGGTACAACTGGTACAATGGCGAGAATTGTACCTCAGTTCACTTGCATAAATACAGCGGGTGGAAGACAGCTTTTACTTTCGTCACCTCAGGTCATACCTTCACAAGCAGGAGGGACAACAGGTTAAAATTTATTATAATTTATTTTATTTGCCGAGTTATGTTATTTTTTTTTTCTTTATAGTTATGACGGCAAGCGGTCAGAGGCTGACTGTGCTTTCGAAACAAGGCACCAATATTGCTAAATTAGTAAGCCCGACAGTAACACAAATAAACAGTGCAAGGCCTATCATGAGGGTTCCTCCTTTGAACATCACTACTGCCACTACTACAACTGTTCAAGTAATTATAAAATATTTAAAAAGTATTTTATTTGCTTAATAATAATAAAAAAACAAAAATATATGAAATAACATAAAATAACGGCATGGATAAAAATTGTCTGCCGAATTTATTTGCTTAATAATTTTCTATAGGAAATTTACTAAAAAACATCGTAAAAGTATGTTTTTTCCATTTTTTGATTTTGAATGATGGGTTGAGTCTTGAGAGTTGCAAGTTGCCAGTTAGCCTGTTGACTAGTTCAATTTGATCTCGTGTAACAATCTTGTTACAAGTTGGTCGAAATATCTCGAAAAACTATAAAACTAAGGAAACATCAAAAGTCTAAAAAAATTTCGTAAAAGTATGTTTTTTCTATTTTTTTTATTTTGAATGATGGGTTTAGTCGAGAGTTGCAAGTTGCAAGTTAGCCTGTCGACTAGTTCAATTTGATCTCGTGTATCAATCTTGTTAGAAGTTGTTGAAGGTTAAAGTACAATTTAACCTTGCTTTGTTCATTGTTGAGCAATGTTTTATTTATACCATTTACATTTTAGTGGTCTAATTGACCATGTTACTTCTTTCAATTAATTATTCTTTTTTATGTAAGTCTTGGTTAAGATAAAAAAGTCATGTCACAAGCGGGATTCGAACCCACGAACTTCGGCTAAATACACCGCTGCTCTACCACTTGAGCTATCGTGACTTCGATCCTCTCGGTCACGAACTCTCCATCTCAACCTAAAACCATTCAAATTTTCCCTCTTTTTGCAGTTTTATTTATATTTGTTCTTTGCATTTTGTTTCCTGTTTATTCCATATTATGGATTATTTATTTAATTATTTCTAAGCCAATTTTACATGATTAGAGGTTAAGATTAAATATACTTTGCTTTTTGAAAAAGATAGGTCTACTCACACAAGTTTTAAACAGCTATACGGATTTCGAGTGATAAATACCCACTTTTGCATATGATAATTTCATAATATATAGATGGAGGAAGGGTTGCATGAATAAAAGGTCCAGGGGAGATGGTGGGATTGAAACCCACGACTTGTGGGCCTACGGACCAAGAGTCTATCGCACTGGTCACTACCACGGTCCCCATAAATTAGTGATTCTCAACCACTGTGCTGCGGCAACTTTTGTGTACCGCGAAATTCTTAAAGTGTGCCACCAAATTTTAGAAATGTATATAGTAAAAATTATAATGCTTTTTTATTACAAGTAAAGTTTAAATTAAAGAAAAGTACTTAAATATATGAATATGTTAAAATTATTAAATAATGTAATTTAAAAAGAAAATTATTTTAACAGGAATAGGTATTTAAATCCATTAAAAAATTTAAGTACTTGTTTTGTAACGTGTTTTTTCTTAGAATCGTAAACTGGTTTTTATAAGTTGGCTCACATGTCAGGCTGCCCGTCCTTTGGAAGCGTTTTCATATGAATTTTCTTCGTCCGAATAGGGATGTTTATGTACGAATGATCCCATTGCATTGAAACGACATGAAGGTCAACTGCAGTCGCAATAATTCTTGCGTGTACAGACGAAAACAAAAAATTTGATTGGGTTCGTAATCTGTTTGTGATAACGAATACTTCCGTATTTGAATTAACTTTGAATGAAGAAGAACTAATTTCGCTTTCTAATAATCGAGATTTAATTTTAAAATATTCGGAAGAATCAATTAATTCGTTTTGGATTAACATTAGAAGCGATTATCCCATGATAGCCAAAAAATATTATTACAATTTTCTACATCTTATTTGTGTGAATTCTGATTTTCAGTATTAACCAACATAAAAACGAAAAAAAGATTGAGACTCAAATGTGGAAGACAATATGAGAGAGCATTGCCATTTTTACGACCAAACATAAATGAAATTATCAAAAAAACATCAAGCTCAAATTTCTCATTAAAAGTATTCTTATTATTAACTTGTAATTAATCCCTTAATAAACGCACTGTTGTTTTCGTAGTGCATATTATTTTACATTGAAAATTATTATCATAAACTATTTTACACAATGTATTATAAGTAAGTAAACTTATCTTATTCTTTGTGTGCCGCCAAATTTTGAAATCGTTAAGTGTGCTGCGATTAAAAAAAAAAAAAAAAAAAAATTACCACCAACATTAGTTCTAACCCAACAAGCTCAGTTTCAATCATCTGAAAAATGCGGATTACAAGTTTTAAATTGGGGGTAAATCAAAATTTGTTTTATTATTAAATATATATGTATATTTATATGCATGCTTGTATATTTATATGCATTTATCTCCATGTTTAATTTTACATTTTTTTCATTCAAAATTTCTCAAACCAATCTAGTTCCCTCTCTCTCTGTGAAACTGTGTAACACTGATGTATTGAAATTGAAATTGTGCTTTGTTTCATGTAGATATTCCTCTTTAATTTCAGAAAATTTGTTTAATTTAGACTTTTTTTGGTGATTCTATACTCTAAAATATCAGAAGAGTATCTGCCACTTCTTGTGAATAGGCCCTAGTTTAGCTTTTTTTTTTTTAAAGTTGAAAATTTTTTTTGTTTTGTTTTTTTAATATTTTTATTTCAACATTCTACTTGCTCAAATCAACTATGTGAATGTATAATTTTACAGGATTTTTTATATAGATTGCAATAAAAATATGTAAAAGCTATCTAAGTCCAAAAAATTTCTAAAAATCAAATATTTTTCAAGTAACTTAGGTCATAATTTTTTCCCTCGTGAAACTAATATCAAATTTCATATTAGCAACTATAGAGATCCTATAAATATAAATTGTTCTTTGAATTTAAATTTATTGATGTTTTGACCTCTAAATTTTTCTGATTTTTGAGAAATCCAGAATATTTGATTGAAACATCTAAAAGGATTTTAATATCAAAGGGACCATCCTTAATTTTAAATTATTTTTCTTACAATACATATTAAGATCGTATACAGTTGTGCTATAATCGGCGCTTTTTGCACGTTCACAATTGAGCGGGACTTAAAAAAAGCAGTTGGTTCATTGGAATTTTGCGTTGGCGGTGGATTTACAGGCCATTCTACAATTCACGTCAAGAGACGTGTTTCTATCTTCTGCCTGATGATGAGTATTACTTGAAATATGGGTAGCTATCTAAAATTTCTCTGAGTAGAACTATCTTTTCCAAAAAATGAATTGTCGTACTCATCACCCAACTTCAAATCATGTTTGCGTTTGTTTTATTTTTTGTTATTCATTTTATTAATTTTTTTTTTGTAGAATTGTATAACTATAGCGTCCAACAATGTAACTGCAACGTCAACAGTGGATGCAACAGTGTCTGCTGTACAGACGTCGACCTTAAATTCTATCACCCCAACCACAGTTAAAAATATGACTACTCGGAACAGCTCTAAAACAAAAGAAATTGACGAACCACCATCTTTGGGATTAAAAGATGTAATGCTCTTGTATTTATTAGATATTTGTGTTTTAACTTTGTTGATTGCTAATTGTTGTTTTTATTAAGGATATACTCACTGAAAGGAGGAGAAGGAGAAGACAAGAAAAACTAACCCTTATAAGCAGAGTTAATGAGATGAGGTGTAACGCTTTACCAATATACGGTGTGGATTTAATCGAATCTTTGTCACTTCAAGACAAACTTACCAAAGAAACAAACTGGTTGTGCACTGGTTATATTCATTGCAAACAAGCGAAATCACCAGATCCAAGTTTGTACTGGAATAAGACAGAAGCTCTTCAAAACATGATATATAGCATTGAAGAAAGGGTTGCTAACCTGTCTGATATATTCAACCGTTTTGTCATGTTTGTACCCGCTGCGAGTGCACCAAGGCCGTCTGCGCACGTCTCGCATCCAGCGCCTTGGAAATTGCACAGAGAACAACAAATGGAGATAGCACTCGAGGAACACTTAAAACCCAAACTCAGGCTGCTCCACCCGATTGCATCTGCTATGTCCACACTTTTCCCTGATCCACGGTTGATACAGTACGATTGTGGCAAACTTCAGTCTCTAGATCATTTGCTTAGGAAATTAAAATCAGAACATCACAGAGTATTAATTTTCACTCAAATGACCAGGATGCTGGATGTTCTTGAAGCATTTTTGAATTTCCATGGGCATATCTACCTTCGCCTTGATGGCACAACAAAAGTGGATCAACGACAGGTATAATTACAGTAAAATCCTTTTGTACTGGTATTCTAAATTTATGTTGTATTTAGGTTTTAATGGAGAGATTTAATGCTGACAAAAGAATATTTTGCTTTATTCTTTCAACTCGTTCGGGAGGAGTAGGTATCAATCTCACAGGTGCTGATACTGTCATATTTTATGATAGCGATTGGAATCCGACAATGGATGCCCAAGCTCAAGACAGATGCCACAGAATTGGACAGACGAGGGATGTTCACATATACCGGTATGTAATATGTCATATTACTTTATAGCTGAAATTTTTAAATTATGTTTTTTATTTCTTACTGGTTTTTTAATTAAATTTGTCCAGGTTGGTTAGTGAAAAGACTGTTGAAGAAAATATACTAAAAAAAGCGAATCAGAAAAGAATGCTGGGCGATTTGGCAATTGAAGGAGGAAATTTCACAACAGCTTATTTTAAGAGTGTAATTATTTATAATTTTACATCGTTTAGTGTGTTTAAATTGTTTCTTATAATTTTTGTTTTTCTAGTCAACAATTCAAGATCTGTTTAATGTTGACACAACAGAAAATGATGCTTCACGGCGCATGGCTGATGTTCTGCAGAAAGAAAGTGAAAAAAAATTGACAGCTTTAGAGCCCGCTGTTAGTAAATTAATATAAATAAATGAAATTAATTCTTAAATAAAACACACCTGTTTAATTTAATTTTTCAGTCTGTGACCAACCCAGAAGACAAGACTGCCCTAGGAGCTCTTGAAAGTGCATTGGCACAAGCTGAAGATGATACAGATGTTGCAGCAGCATCAGTAGCCAAAGCTGAAGCAGCGGATGAACTGGCAGAATTTGATGAAACCATTCCATTGGAGCAGCCAGAAGGTCCAGAACTGAGTAAAGCAGAAATGGAACTGAATCTTCTCATGCAACAAGTGAGTTTCGGAAATTGAAGAGAGATAAACTAACATAGTTTTGTATCTGTTTTATTAGGGCGGATGAAATTTTAAATTGTAGCTCTCAAAATTAAATAATACAAAATAAGAAATCAGATACAATATTTTAAAACTCATGATGTGTTACAGTTGTCCGGTGTCGAAAGGTACGCCATGAAGTTTATGGAAGAGACGGAAGCAGTCTGGTCGGCCGAACAGTTGGCAGCAGTTGAGGCAGAAATTGAACAGCAGAAGCGTGAATGGGAGCAGGGAAGATTGGCGGCTTTTAACGAAGAAGAATCTCAAAAGAAGAGACAAGCAGAGGCAGAAATGGAGGACATTATAACTTACTCATCCACGGATGCTAGAAATCAGGTCAATAGCAAACAGAAGCATTCTGAGAGTGGAAATAATTTTATAGATAGCTCTGAAACCCCACGGACTCGTTCACACGGTCGTGTTTCTATAGACTTGTGGACACTCGATGAATCGCCGATACAGCCAACTAAACTCGGCAGTGCTAGCAAAAAGGCAAAAATGGTTACAAAAAGTGTCTCAAAAAAGAAGCCACCTTCACCTCCGACCAGTCCCACTCCTCCACCTTATTCTAATCCTAATTTAGTCATTCGGACACGTCGTGCGTCTGCAGCATCGCCTGCAGATAGCAATCATGTGTCCAGTAACAAAGTGGTGGGCCGGTTGGGCAAAATTAAAAGGAAATCAGATGGAAGTATAGCCAGTAATGGTTCAACTTCATGATTATCTGCTGTGATTTGTCTGCCATTTTCTCATATTATTATTTTTTTCTTAAATTACGAAGTTTCTTAATTTATTTCTCTAGAGGAGTAGAAGTATTGATCTCAATAAAATTCTGTGAAGAAAAAAAAGTTTTCCAAATTAAGAGCCTAATTAGTAGGTTTTACGTTTCATGTTCCTTGAAAGGTGGTAGTTTTTCTTGAGGTGGAAAGAAGAAAGAACTCTTAAAGGTGTAAAATAATTAATGTAAATAACGATTGGGAATGCTTTTAGTGATTTTCTGATCAAACCTTATATTGACTTTTATGTACTATTGTTAAATTGCATGTTGTTCAAGTGAAAAGTGGGTCAGTTTAGACTGATTTGTTTAAATTGCTGGTATAAATTGACAAAAAATTTGTAGGTTCAAATGGCTACAAATTCATAGTGAAACTTGTAAATATTATAAATAATCAGTAATTTGTGGTTATTTGATTATTTTTTGTGTTTGAGGCTTGTAAATAGTTATATTCTAATCGTTTGATTAGGATTATATATTTTTGAACTGATGTCAATACTGTTCGGTATGATTCAGTCATTTTTGAACAATTTATATTTGAAAATATAATTTTTTATACTTTAATTTTAATATGTAAATAACTTTGATAGAATTTAATGAAAAATTGGCAGTTTAAAAACCCAAACTGGTTCTTTTAAACAATGTTTAGCCATGTTCGTTTGTAATTGATTTATATAAAAATGCAAAAGTGCTATAATGGGCCCGTTAAGGGTAATTTATTTCTATAATTTTTGGCAAAGTTGGAAAGTAAATCATAGGGTTGATTTAAAAAGACAGCGAATACTTTTTTAATTGAAAGTATAGGTTTATTTTTTATAATATTCTCATAACAAAACTATGCATTAACAAATAAGTCTTTAATTGTTAAAATGAACTGAATTGTTTAAAACAAATTAAATGTACTTTTATTAAAATATTAATTTTCAAATAATTGGCTCATTACAGGTTAATAAACTATTTAGTAAATCTTAAGTTACTGGGAAAAAATGCTTTTATTTAATTATGTTTTGCAAAACACTGTACAATATTTAAGAAATAAAGTAATTATTCTCTATGATGTGGTATTTTTCTTGGTAAATGAAAAAGTGAATGTTGGGCTCTGTTTTGGTGTTTTTTCTTCTCTGCTCTTGGTGCGCTGTTTTTGTAGTAAACTTAACTTGTAAGTTTACTTTGGAATGGACCATTACAAGGAGGTAAAAAACAACCTTTTATTCCTATATCTTCTTATTCACTTGTTGGCACCAAAACATTGCCTAATGAATAGAATTACCAAGAGAATTACGCACATAGAGCAAAGATTAACTACATCATCAAAACATGGCTCAACATTGGTGCAGTCACTCCTTTTTCCAGATTTTATTTTATTTTTTTCCATAACAAGCCAAACAGCAAGTTGAAAAATATCACTGGATTGTTAAACAATCTATAATTTATTTATTTTTACAGCTTTGGATTTCGGATGATGGAAAAGATTTGATGCCGGTATGTACAGTACTTCTGTCCCGTTTCTTTTGGACACGTGCAAATTGTCTCATTTTGAACTTTTAGATGTGGTGCCCGCCCACGCCACCTCAAGACGATAGCGATGTTTACATTGACCAAGCATTGGGCCTGCTCTATGAGCAAAAAGTAATGACCGAAGAACAACTTCCACCTGTGTTTGTAAAGAAAGAAAAGAAACGAACCCGTATTGAAGCAGGCCTCCCAGAAGGTGAGTAACATGTTTTCTTTTTACTCATAAATATCTTCATTTTAATATGTACGATGGATTGTGATTTTATACAGGCAAGTTAATTAACAGAAAAAAAAGAGTTAACTTTAATGAGTTTGTTATTTTGTACCATTACTTTGTCATTTGTAAAAAAAATTAACAATTTTTTTTTGTTTTTGTTTTATAAGGTGGAAGGGTACAAGTAAAGATGCGACAAAGGGAGGAGACATTGTTGCACGCACCCAGGTCTCTATTTGACCGCCCGACCCCAGCTTTGATCAAAATGCGCCAGGAGCTTCGTCTTCAAAAGTGCAGAGGATTAATTAGACCTTCAATCCAAAACTTGATGAAGCCTCAGCTACCTGTGAAGCCCCTTCCTGAACCTGATCATGTCCCAGAGTGGGTCATACAAGAGGACTGGACTATTCTTCAAGTGATTATCTTGAAAATTCTGAAAGGTGATTTAAACGATTTAATATTTTAATTTTATTTTTCAGGCGATACAAAACATCCAAGAATTAACTTTGAATTTAGTCGTCCTCTCTCCTGGACAGACTCCTAATTGGGATTTGGTAGCAGATATTGTGAACCTCACGGCTAGAACGTACCGTTCCCCTAAACAATGTAGAAACAGGCAAGTTTCAGTAATAAACTTGAGTTAAATCGAGAGATTTCCTTCTGGGTGTCTGTGGGGCTTAACTTACCGTTTTAATTAATTATTTTAGATATGAATCTGTTGTGATACCGAGAGAGGAGGGGAAGTTGGTTCTTGATAGCCCTAAGAAACAGAAAAAGACGAAAACATTGTACAAAATACCACAGATAAAAGCAGGAAGACCTTTAAGGACATCACAGTTGTACCAGCAGGACAACAACACTTCGATGACCCAAGTGATGAATACAAGATTCGATGCAATTCGTGCTGTGTCAAACAAGAGAGCCCCTACAATCAAACCACTCCTTGTAGACCCTACAATGAAAAATCCGAAGCATGCAGAGATATTGGCTGAGAACGCTATTGACTATGAAAAGCCCATGACACCGATTGAAGTTGCAGCGAAGCGAGCTGATAGAATTGCTAAGGAAAAGCAAGCCTTTGTCAAACAAGTAATTTTTTTTTTTTTAATTGAGAATTAAGTTAAAAATTGACGTTTACTTAATTATAATGAATAGGGCATGGCTGTTCCTGAGCAGCAGCTAGCAGTCTTGCGACTTAAGCAACAACTTCAAAGCAGCAGCCCAAAAACAACAGTTGCAACTACAACTGTGACGACTACAACGATTACTGCTCAAACCACAACTTCACCACCCACAAGAACTATTGCTGTTCAGGTAAAAACAAAATAGCAAATGTCTGCCATAAGGGATTCGACATGCTGCATCACATATTTTCTTATATTTGTGTTCATTCTTACATAAACATGTACATAGTGAAATTTTTTTCTTAAAATTAGGAGTTGACAACAACAGGCAGAGTGGTTGCAAGTTCACCCACCCAGAGTACTATAGTCGCACAAAGATCGCCTTCAACAAACATTATCTCTGCCCAATCGTCCCCAACTGTGACTACTGTAAAAGGTTCGACGAAGACTATCAGTGCAGCCCAGTTGCAGATTTACCGACAGCAGCAACTGCAGTTTAGGCAGCAGAACCTTCGCGTGCTCCAATCGAGAGGAGGTGGTACTGCTGGACAGAAGATTTCCGTAGCAGTTCCTACAGGCACTACTACACAACGGATGCCTCAAGTCAAAGCAGCAGGAGTCACAAGAACAGTGTCAGAATCTGAAGTTGTCGCTCTTTTTAAAAGGCAACAAGCTGCAAAAGTTTCAACGGCCACTACGCTGACTTCAGCACAAATCTTAGCACAAGCTAGTTTGCAGGTAAATCATTATTAAAATAACAATTTTTTTTTTTTAATGAAAATGGCAATGATTTTGAATAGGCCCAACAGTCTGGCAGTACAGGAGTAGGACAAGTTACAACATTGGTCAAAACTATTCCTGCCTCTTCTATACCAGTGGGTGGACTTACTCAGGTAAAAATCATCATAAGCCAATCATAAATTGTTGGTTTAAATAATTATTTTTGATAGATGAAAGCTCTTGGCACTAATATTAAACAAGGAACTGTGACTCCACAACAAATCAAGTCTATACAGCAGCAGCTAATGGCACAACGAAAATTAGCCCAACAGAAAGTCACACAAATTGGACAGGTAGCACTTGCATAAATAGTTGTGCAAACGTTTTAAATGATTTTAACAATTTATTTGGTTTAATTTATTTTCCTCTAGGTAACCTCTAAGGCTGGAACAACTGCTCAGCTCATTGTTCAATCACAAAAGACAGTCCCAACTACAATGACAATGCAGCAATTCCAGCAAGCGATCAAACAAGTTCAACCCCAGCATGTTGTAAGTCGATAAATTGATTTTTTTTCTTATAAGTTATTAAAAAAAATTATTATAGCAGGTAGCACAAGGAAGCTCACCCCAAGTGATATCACATTCTGTGTTTACTAAAACGCAAGGTGGATCTCCTGCTAGGGTGATTCCTGTTGCCACAAGCTCCCAGCAGCCTATCAAGCATGCAATTCAGGTAAAAATAAGAAAATTTTGCTCTTATTTAGTATTTGTTTAAATGTTTTATATCATCTTTATGTTATTAATTAATAAATTAGCCACTAATAAGTTTTGAAAAAATGCAGGGCGGAGTAAAATAAAAATTCCGCAACATTTAAAAATTAAAAAACCTTTGAAAGGTCACAATTTTCTAAAGACCTAAGAGGTTAAATTATGCTGCGATGGGTTGATAGGTCGTTTTAAGGGGTTCTACTGCTTTCCCCCAAACTGTGGATATACAGTTTAATAAAATGTGGAGTCCTAGTGTTCACCGTGATTACCATCCCAAATGAAAGTTTTTGTAATTTTGTATACTTTAGTTTTAAATAGATTTTTTCTGAATGCAATTTTTAGGGTAGGCTAACTGCATCCAATGATGTGCAAAAGGGTGTGAACAGGGGCCGCTTCACTTCGAAATGTCAAAAGGACTCTAACTCGAGATGTTAATACAAGATAAGAAAAATTGAATTTGTTCGAGAAAACCATAAATGTGTATGTATCATTGTTTTTGAAGTAACTTGTTCATGAAAGAATTGGTTAAAAATGTAGGTAATATAATGTAGGGACATGAAATTTCAACAGATCCAATGACTATGAGAGAATTTTTGTTAGTTTGTAATGTTTTTAAAATTAACGTGTACTGTAGGTAGTAAGCGGTAATTCTAGCAGTCCAGGAAGGTCAGTGACAATAGATGCTTCAGGGAGGACAACTCAAACGGCTTTAGCAGGAGCTCTCAAGACAGGATCGGCATCTCAACAAGCCATTCTAACTCAGGTAAATTTTTACCATTTTTAATTTTCAAGTAAAGAAAAACTTGATAATTCGAAGTCCAATGGACTACAAAAATAATTTGAATTATCAAGATTTTCGAAGTACCAGGAGGAATGAAAACAAATTATTTAGAGTTCTTATGCTTTTTTAAAAAGTTCTTACTTATGTTATGTATGTACAAATAATGAAAAAGTTTAGATAGATCAATTGAATGAACATTTTTATGCATTGTTTAAAATAAAATCATGTAGCAGTTTTCAATGTGGCCTGGCATCCTTTCTCTAAATGATTTTCCAAAGTAACCAGTTGTTACAGGTTCCTCCTTGACAGTGGAGATTTTTTTGTTTTGTTTTTTTGTGGGTACTTCGCCTCTAAAAATTAACTAATTGGGGCCACACTGTTTTTCCTGGAAACAGTGAACGATGGGGTGAAATAAAAAACCAACAAGAAAAATAGAATATCAAGCCCTCTGCATTGCAAATAAAATGGTAAACAAAAAGGAAATAAAACAAGTTCTCTTCTTCAATAAAAAAAAGGGGAAAAAAAGAAAAAGAAACTGTCAGTTAACAAAATCGCATTAAAAAAAAGCTTGAACCTCATCCCAGTTCTTTCCCTTCTTGTTCCAGGGTGGTTCTTCCTTCGCACAGTCAAACTCTCCATTCCATTAATAAAACAAAGTTCACAATAATAAAAAAAGCTTGCTCCCTTTGTGACTAGCTTTCAGGCTGCCGAGAGGAACTTAGGTCTTTGCTTCAGTTTTCTTGCTTCCGTGCGTAAAATCCGAAGTTTTAGCATTCCTTACTTTAAGACTTAAGAAGTTATTATTATTATTATTACATTTTTAAGTTAGTTATTTTCAGTTTAATTTTCTTTTAATTTACAATCACGGAGTGAAATCTGCCAGCTGCCGATTGAAAAGTTCGTACAGAATCTAGCAGTATCACAGTAATCTAAGTCATATTATCCAAGGGCCTTGGGTTATGTTGAGGGTTTAGGTGCCGCAATGCTGGGTATTGAAAATAAGATTGGCAAGGAGGACTACACATCTGTTCACCTCAAGTATTGGGGTTTTATTTAATTTTAGTACATTTAATTATTATTACTGTTGGTGATTATTCAGAGATCGTGAGATGCGGTCTGGTGTGAAGTAGGTTTTAGAAAAACATTTTCTTTATCGTGCCAATGTTTCGATCTTTATTGAGATATCTTCAGGGCTCAAAGTGGTTGTTTTCTGCATAATTGTGCCATTCTTGTATGTCATGGGCACTCTCACACGAAAAAAAACTAAGTCTAAAAGTCACAAATCACCACACATTATTATTGGTTTTGCGGCCACATCAGCACGCGCTCAATTTAATGGCACCTACATTAACAATATTTGCTACGGCGTTTTAAAAAACTAAGACGTCATTCATCTACATCAACTCGTTGAAATTTAGTTCTTTTGAAAATTATAAGCATTTCAGTTTTAACATGAGTTATCTGATACCAAAGGGTTAATTAAACTATAAACAACTGAATTTACATTATTTTAAATGTTTCGTTTTGTCTGGATCACCTTAAATTTAGATAGTTTATTCCTAGGTGTCAGCAGCAGTAATTCAACCGGGACATCAGATTACTATGAGACAACCTGTACGAATACAAGCAGCTACAGCACCACTTGTCGCAGTTGCCGTTTCCCAAGCACCCACAGTCTTGACGCTTCCACCCCAAGATAACGTGAGGAGACCTTTTTATTTTTTAATTTATTAATCATGACTGCAATTGCTTATTAACTGATTTATGTTTCAGAACCAGTCGTAAAAATACAGGAAATGCTAGTTACCACCCTAATGCTAAAGTAAATGTCTCACTTTTCACTCTTGGAAAAATTAGGTCGACATATTGATTAATTTTATTATTTATTAGTTTAAAAAAACCTGAAGTACTTTTGAATGTGTTTTCTTTACTGCAATAGTTGTGGTTATATTTTTATTTAATCTTAAAATGATTTTACTTAATTTAAAAAAAGAGAAACAGTTACATTATAAAATTTAAAATTGTATATACCTTTGTATTAAATGTAAACGCTCCCTTACTCTGTAAATAATAATTTATTTCTTTGCAAAGTCTATCTGCATAGAAAGTTCAGTTTGTTACATTTTGTTTTATTAATAATAAATCATGTCAGTAAATTATGTTTTAACTTGACATTGTAATGAAACATTGAAAATTGACTCTTGTTTTCTAAATTGTAAAATAACTTTCGTTACACATTATAAAGATAATATTGTTTGTTGCTAGTCCATAGCTGATCGTACTTTGTGTACAACAGATTTTGTAGATATTCTTTTTACATTATGTTAAATGGATCTTTTTTTGCATGTAAAAATTCTAATTGAATTTCAGTATTACACTTTTTAGTTGTGCTTTAAATATAGAAACACTTTTAGTGATGAGTTTTCACTTCAATAAAATGACATGTTATTTTGTACTATGTATTTGTACTTCTGCTTGAAATAGTTTTCCTACAGGTCTTTCATTTATTAATTTTTTAAATTTGAGTTAGTAATATTAACATTGCTATAAACTATTGATATGGTGAAAGATTTTAAGTTGAAAGAATATGAAGAAAGTAATTATAAATATAATTAAATAGATAGAAGGAAGCAATAATGAAAATTTATTTTTATAACTATTGATTAATAAATTTTTCAGAAATGTGTATTAATTTTCTTTATCTTCTCAGACACAGATTAGATTTTTGCACAATGTTTTTTCTTTAATGTTCGTTGGAAGTTCTCCAGATTTGGTATCACATGGACTAGAAAATTATACAAATACTTGTATAGATGTTTGTAAGCTGGCTTACTTTTTTTTACAGTGAGCCAACTGTAATTGATGTAAATACATTTTTATATTGTTCACTTATGTTATAAGTATAAATATGTAATATAATTTTTCATTTAAATATATCACAAATGCAGACCTTTAATTTAATCAATTTAACTACCTAATTGCTGTATGAATTGTAATTATTAGGATGAATAATAGATAAAAACTGTCTAATGAATACCTATTCAAAAACAAAAGCAAAGTAAGCAATGAAGAAATATATAAATGAAAACTAAAGAAAAAGATCAATAGAAATCAACTGCCTGAAAAAGTTAGACTGTCACTACAGTACCACTTTTCCCATACATACACATTTCGGACTGGAACAAATCCTTAAACATATTAATCAACAAGATTTCTTTGTGTGTTTTTGTAAAATAAAATATTCTTGAATTATAATTAATCTTTATGTAAGATATGGTTGAGATAAAAAGTCAGAGTCACAAGCGGGATTTGAACACACGACCTTCGGCTAAATACGCTGCTGCTCTAACCACTTGAGCTATCGTGGCTTGGATCCACTCGGACAACTTCCCATCTCAACCCAACCTTTTGAATTTTCCCTCCTTTCTGCCATTTTTAGTAAAATTCAAAAATATAATGAATTATTATAAAATAATGAAAATCCAAGATAAATTAAACATTTTTAGAAAAAATCTTTAAAATATTTTCAATGAAACAAAAAACAATAAAAAATAAATCCCTACAACCTTTTTGTCAGGTGGACCCACTTGGCACAAAGGGAAGGTACATTTAAAAAACCGGCCTCACGCCATATCAGTCCCAGGGACTGCTAACTTTTTTTAAAATAATTGGTCATTTGTACTTGAAATAATAAGAAATGGTCAATACTTTTACTAAGCTATAACCTAAGGATACTAAAGAAAACCAAGATTCTGATGATGGGGGTAAATAAATGAACATTCAAGTAAACGAAAATAAGTAATATGTCTACTTGTTAATTTAAAAAAAAGTTTTCTGCCATAACAAAATAAATTAACAGATGAATAGATTATTTATTAAAATAAACAAATTATCAATTTTATCTCTCTTATGTACAGAAATTAACATTCAGCCATGAATATACCATTCATCTGGTGAAAAATTCTCATTTGCGCCTGAGTGTGAGATATGCAGAGGTCCCTTGGCACGTTGGTGTTAATTAGTTCAAAACGATAAGACCCAGCTAGCCATGCATATCTGATCAGTTGTAAACAATTCTTGCTATTGAAGAAATCAATTAGCTGTATGCTTCTTGTATGAACATATCTAAATTTAGAGAGGATGGGAGCGACAATCAAGAAATGAACAGTATCTTATTTTTCTCTTGATGTTTAAGGTCAGCCAGCTTACATCGTACCTTGAAAAACCAATTTAACCCAGTGGTTAAAAGTTCAGTATTATTAAAATTAAAATGTAATAAATTTGAGTTATACTGTCAATAGTAGTAAAATAAAACAAAATGGTTTGACCGTTGAGTCAACACGCTTCCCAGTAACATTCATCTATTCTTAAGCAGATGACCATTAACTTCCACGTATCCTGATCTTCGAAGTTGGCATCAAAATTGCATGGAGTATCTCTCCACCATATCAATCCAGTGCTTGTTCCAAAATGTTTTTCTTTTAATAACTTCTAAGGCTAAAGAACGAGGAAAGTGGTGAGAAGGCAAATTGAAAATTTTAATGCATTATCTAACACAAAAATAATAAAGTTCCTCCATAGGTTTAATTAAGCAAGTAAGCCATTTGAACAGTTTTGTGAGAGGCCTGGTTACTCCAATGTTCAGTGAAAGTCATGTTTACTTTAAGCCGGCATTCACTGTCATTGCTATCTTTTGTTGATTGACGACTTTTATCATTTTATAAGGATTTAAAAATATATGCAGTCCAACACCAATATGGCTTCTCCCAACAAACAAAGTTTGTTCTAAGTGAGCAAGAAATCCCACTGAAGCTTTTTTCTCAGTCAAAATTAATCAACCAATCTGTGGTTAATTGTGTACTGAATGATCTCTTGGATTCCCAGTTACCCTTGCCTTTAAAGAAGACTAGATTTCTCCAAACAAACCAGCATTTAAGACACGAGATTGAGTCCTTCTGCGATGAGAATAAAAGAAATGAATCACTTATTGATGACACTTTTCACAATAAGGAGTATAAAACTAATTTTGTAAGAAGTTTGAAGTGTAATCCTACATATGTGTATATGTTATGTTATGTAAACTACAAAGTTTTGGAGGAAAGGGTGGAAGAATTTAGAGGGAAGAGAGTGGCTCTTGGAATTTGGATGTTGGGAGAGAAACTTTGAAAAGAAAAAAATTGTCTAGATGGTAAAGTGAGAAAATAGCGATCTTATATATTTTTTTGGGTGTTTACTAATGTGTAAATATTTCAAACAATAAGTTGCCCTAATAGTGGACACAAATTTAGATGCAGGCGTTGAGCATGAGCCAAGCGAGCAGTTATTCATAGTAAAATTACTGTGGCATCTCATCATTCCTTGACTTCGACCCTAATACAATTCAGAAATGTGGGAGTCTTTTTTCCTAATTAAATATACTACCTTCACTCTGTATGTAGCAGTATATAATCCAGAAGTAGGGTTACATACTAATCCTTTTGTGAGCAGGAGGGCATTACCACCTGAATTAGTCCATACATAGTTAACACGCTGTAAAAAAGTTCTTTTGCACCAAGGTATGTCCTACATGCCCACAAGTTTCATAAACATCACTGGCTGAAATTGCAGCATAGGTAAATGAGTTCTTAGAAATAGGTTCTTAAGGTGAAAAAATATTTGAGGGAATGAGGAATTCCATATAAATGTCCATTTAATTGTTTATTTCCATAAAACATTTGCAAAAAATTAAATAATTTGCCCTTTTTTTAAACAAATAAAAAAATATGTAATATAAAATTGAGACATTTACTACACTACTACTAGACTACTTCTACCAACTACGACCAAATGAGTACAAAATAAAAGTGCAGGTGAGCAATACAGGGAGGAATTCTCCAATGCACCCAAAAAAACCTTAAAAACTTATCAAAAATTAAATTCATATTAAAAAAATAAAATAAAAGCAATCACATTTTGCATAAAACATTCACATACAGTTCAGGAATGATTTTGCCTTAATTTCTCTCCTTAAGTTTTTATATTAAATTATTAAAATCTAAAGATTGTTTTTATACAAAAATACTCTGTACATTAAAACTTGTCATCTTAAAACTAAAATTTTTAGTAAATACTATTAGTAAATAATTAATTAAAAGGTTATGATTGTAATAACGCAGAACTTGATGATATAAGAATCTTGCAATAACGATTCGAAGTTCTCTTCAGGAAATATGCATACTTGAAGGAAACGAAAACCCACACAGTCGTGACGAAAAGATTGGTTGAAATAGGCTCATTGAAAGCTAAAAGAAATTCTTATTAAAATTGTCCAAAAGTGCAAGTTAGTGCATGTGACTTACGCATTTTCCAGTATAAGATTAAGAATATTAAATATGTAAAAATTCCAAAAAAGATAATCATGGAGCACACCGCAAAGCTCTTTATGCTTTTTAGAATGCTAGTTGTGTAGATCTCTAGCCGGCCTGAGATGTAAAGTACGTGCAGCCAAATGTTCAAAATCGAGTAACTTACTAGGGGGGAGGAACAAATAAACAACATAATTTCATATGCAAACACGCTAGAAACAATCACTTACATGTCAAAAAGCCAAAGAGTGATGCAAATTTGTTGTTTAAAACTGCAAAGCATACCATGGCGGACAGGCCAAAAAGGGCACCGATGAAGTTCGCTATCAAGCCAATTCCCGTCCACAGAGACATCCTAAGAATGAATTTAGGACAAAACTACAAAGAAGTTACAATGACATATCAACTATAAAGATAAGCAATAATCAACTTGTTTATCATTACCATGCAATGATAATGAATTAAAATTTAACTCTCGATCAATTATTTATTTACACTAACTTTATCTGTGTTATACTTACATAACATTTTACAATTTACGGATCTACCAATTTTCTTAAAACTAGTTCAAAAAAATATTTTAATTACGTATATATACATTTGTTTTATATTATTTTAACTAGATTTTTTTTTTAGTTTTTCACCAATGAAAAGAAAAAGAAAGACAATAATAATAATAACAAAAAAAATTGAAAAAGAACATTTTATCTGTCATATTTTTATATTTTCAAAGTTAAAAATGTGGTTTTACATTTATTATGATCATTTTTTATGAGGCCTCTTTTGTGGTGGCCATTCACGATCACTTCCAGCAGTCCAAACGGAGCGACGCCGTTCCAAAAACCACTTCAATGGCAGAACTGAACTGGTGTGCCGGGCTGTGCCAAATATTCGGCCAGTCCAAACTTCATCGCATCAGTCCAAACATTTACAGTGCGACGACAGCATGTCTGTCACCCACAGGTTCATGAATGGGAAAACCTGGCATGAACGGTGGAATATTGGCACGCTCTCCGCAGTTTTTTTTTCCATTCAATTGAGATTTTATTGTTGAGGTGATTGAATTGTATACCATTGTTTACCACGTTCATGGAAAGTGGTAAATAATTAAATAGTTCCTCCAATTAGCGAGTTCAAGGGAAAGATCTTTCATCAAATTGATGTGGGTATTACTTCTGTTCAGGAGCCACTTCTTACACCATTTCCTCTTCAATTTTTTGCTTTTTATATATAAACAAACAGCAGCGTAGCACAAGAGATTGTCATTCATGTTGAGACAGTAATTCACTAGATGACAATCAGAATGACTGGCTGTGGAGCAGTCGTGAATGCCCCCTCAAATTTCAGGCACTCCAAATAGAACTATACGGCTCGGTGTGGTTCCATCTGGAGCGATCGTGAATGGCCACCTAAGTCACGATAGCTCAAGTGGTAGAGGATTTAGTTCGAATCCCACTCGTGACACTCACTTTTTTACCTCAACCAAGACCTTACATAGAAAGAATAATTAATTGAAAGAATTGACTACATATTTCATACATGTGAAATATTTTGTCTTTTAGTTTTGTAAATTTTCAGATAAACCATTGATATAATGTGTTATTGATTTATATATTTTTCTATTGCATTTTATTCTTTGTTTTATTTTTACTGTTTACAGCAAGACTATGAATGTCACAAAAAGTGATGTCGCACCTGTAGACATTCCACAATAGTGGTCTCTTAAAAAAATATGTAAATAGTTTTAAACAGATTTTTGTTTTAATTTTAAACAAAACTTCTGCATTGTAAAAATGCTAAAATTAATTCCTTTTCAAAAGATAAATTATTAAAGAAAAGTTAAATTTTATTTCTGCTGTATTTTAAATGGTCCTCTTCATTTACAAAAAAATATATATGTAATAATTCTATGATGATATGATTGGATGTATGGATAGGGTCTCTCACAGGTACAGCAAGATGTATGGCGAAAATGTATCTATCATTAGGCACATAAAACAGCAAATAAAGCGCAGACATTAAACTCATGTATAATGATACATCTATTATGTCAGATGTCCTTATAGTTTTGGACCAAATATTTTAATGTTTCCTCTGTTTAGATACTCAGTAAATTCCTCAAAAAGTCCCTTACATCTTCAGCCAATCCAGATTTTTTTATTGCTTATGTTCCATAGTGACTACATAAGAGATTGACTTTTTTTAATGAGTTTTATTTAATTTATGCATTTATTTTTGTTTTACACTTCCATGTTATATGTCAAGTCTCTTGGAAACCTTGAAGTATTTTACATCTGGAAGTGAGTTTGATTTCAACTGCTTTCTATTCCCAGTCTCATCTATTTTCTTGATGATTAATATCTAATTATGACCAACTTACCTGCTGCTATTTGGGCCTCCAACAACTGAGGCCGAAATAGTACCCTGGCTACAAGAACTGTTTTGGGTAATCTTGTGCTACCAAGATTTTGGTCCCTTCGGATTTAAAGACATCCTTAAAAACGATAATTTAACCATCAACTTAAGTAAAATTGATTTCCACATGAAGGATCACCCTTGCCAATTCTTTTGGTAAATTCAATTTCACATTGGGACAACTCTATGTTCCATTTTTATTATTGTAGAATTTTAATGTACAGACTTCTCTTAACACTACCTCGGCAACGCCAAACATCGAATTTTTTCCTTAATTTTCAGTTTGTTTCAGCTTGGGTGATAATTTTTACATCTAGACCAGCCAACTTAAAATATATTTTGTTTCATTTACTGTTTTCTTGATTATTTTAGTTCATTTGTGAGTTTCAAGTACAAAATGTTGTGTTTAAAATATAATCATTCATTAGTAGAGGCAATAGATGAAGGTCGAGATTACATCAATTATAATTTATTACTTCCATATTTACAGTAAAACCACTGTTAAAGATTCAAGTACATCCATGATGATGACTCCCTCAGTGCACTGACTTGACTACGTTTAAACCCATTGTTTTTGTGACAAAGCATAATAAACATAAAAAACATAAATGAATGCCAACGTTTTTCAAAAGTCACAGTCCTCACTTATTATCTATATGTGGTTGCTGTGGTTAAAATTTAAATATACTGTGATATAAGCAAGGTGATGAGCCGACAGTTCGATCATATATAATCTTCTGGTCAGTTAATTATCCCTGGTTTGGTCTCGCAATTGTATTTGAAAATTTCCCATTTTTGTAAAGTTGGTGAGGATATAAGTAGGGTGAGACAACTTCATCGATGCTAATTTTACAGATTTGCTGGAGAGTTGTCCTAACAAATAAAAATGTGTGTCCTGCCTGACAAGCTGATATCCATAATTAAGTAAAGCGGATAGCAAATAGATGAAACTCATTGACATATGAAACCTGTGATGATAGACCATACAACATATTAAAATATGTCTTATATAATAAGTAAAGATATCTAAAATTTTTTTTGCCATTGTGATTTTTTATTTCAAGAATTCTGAGATGAGAGCACTTTTTGGTCTGAATTTTATATGCACATGATTGCAACATGTGATTTCTTTTTTTTAGGAAAATAAGTTTTCAAACCAATATTTGCTTTTAGATAGTTAAAAAAAATTACATTTAAAAAAGACTTCTCCAAGAGACCAAAGAAGAAATTACATAACGGCAATTTCAGTTAACAATGGACAAATAATGTAACGTATGTAATTTGAATTCAAGAAAGTTTAATATCAATCTAATTTACCCAATTAAATAAGGAGTAATTTTGCTGATTTTTTATGTTGATATTAAGATAATGACAAGACTGATTTTTTTTTTTTTTTTAAACAAAAGCCCTGAGGTACGATCTTTTTTCCAGGTTCTGATGATTCAAGCTGTTTCAATAATCTTCATCTTCAATCAGCTAACCTAAGAAAAATAAACAATCTACGAAGAAAACAAGATGTAAAAATCTTTAAGCATTATGATAGAAAGTGTAAGATTTTTCAAAAATTTAAATTTTATATTTTCAGTTGCGAAAACATTGACATTTATTTATTTTTTTAGTTTGTAAAGTATAAGTTTCAAATGTTCATTACGAACATGTGTAAAGATTTGAGATATAGATGTAGAGAAAGCAAATATGACAGACATATGATTGTCATATAATGACTAATTAATTAATTTAACAATGGGTTAAGATAATAAGAAACTAATTTTTTTGCTTCCCTTGAACGTTGGAAAAGCTTAAGACACTTGTGTACATAAAAAAAAAATTATATATATATATGTTTTTTTAATGCAATAAAGAAAATATGACAGACATATGATTGCCATATAATGACTATTTAATTAATTTACAATGGGTTAAGATAATAAGAAACTCATTTTTTTGCTTCCCTTGAACGTTGGAAAAGCTTAAGACACTTGTGTAAAAAAAAATATATATATATTTTTTTTTTCTTAAATTTAAATCTTCCAGTAATGTGTTGCTAATCTATTTTTTGTCTTAAAAATTGCACTATCACTTAATTACACTCAGGGGTGAGGGTAACAGTCAATTAATTAATTTCAAAGCCCTGACATTACCACTCGACCTCTGAAAATTTATTGTTTCTTGAGTTTTATTCTCCCCAGCTTGAAAACATCATTGATCATTTTCTTATTAAATAAACCTGCCTAAGAATTGACAAACGTTTTTAACTGGCTGTTTTAGTATACATTCTAAATGGAAAGATTTCTGACTTCCCATTTTGTCAAAATCGCTTCACTTCAGCTGTCAGCACAGAATTGAAGTGATTTTGGAGATATATGTTTGCAAAGCTCCATTCATACACAAGACAAGTGTCGTTCTTTTTACTTGAAAGTAAAACTCTATTTGACGCATATCCACTCTTATTGAAATAGATGGCTTACTGCCATACATAATAATGCTTGTATGCAGGGTTGAGTACCTGCAAAAGCCCCTTTTATCTAATTAATGACTGTAATTTTTCCAAGTTCTTTAAACTTTCATTAAATCAATGTACAGGTGCCAAGCTTATGGATTGGCCAAATATTCCACTCAAAGATTACAAAGTTTTAAACCCAAAATTGTAATATTAATTGTTTCTGCCCCTTTTTACATAAAAAAATAACACTTCACAGAGATCTTCACATGCCAACTGTTTTTTCGTTCATCAAAACGTACTAGATGTTTTCATAGCAAATCGTACTAACACAGAAATACGATTACTCCATTCCACACAATTACCATGTAAACGACTGAAAAGAATGTGGATAAGAGTCCTCTTAAACGATTAATATCATTTTATTAAACCAGAACAGCTGCCAATGGGTAGCTTTCTCTATAACATCCGTAATGTTACAATCATAAATTGAAAACCAACCTACTGGTTGTATGTAATACATGTACAGTTGTAGATGGGGGAAAAATCTAAGCTATAAGCAGGAACATTTGGAGGCTTTGAATCTCATATTCAATTAATATAACGGTTGCATAGGGGATCAATATCATTCCTTCTTCACTTCCACCTACCCTAAGCAATCTCACAATAATTGCAAGCAATATAGAATTATCCTTTAGCAAAGTAAGATGTCTCAACTTTATTCCTGACAAGCTTGTTAAATGTCTTTGTATATTGGGGAAACTGTTTTCAAATGTTGGAGCATAGACTGCTTTTTTACTCATGACACACTGGATCAAGATATGTCTTGAAGAAAAAAGCAAATTCAGTTGTTACTGCCAAGCTTTCGATGCATTCAAAATCTCCAAAACATGGGGAAACACACAACCTGATGACATCTTGGGTGCCAGGACACAAAGGGATTTTGGGTAACGAAAAAGCAGTCACACTGGCCAGAGGAGGATCTGCAAGACCATACATAGGCCCTGAACCTACGCTTGGGATAACAAAAACAAATACAGAATCCTCTATTGTAGAAAAAGGAGAAGTGGATAAACTTTAGCGGTGCTAGACACAATAATTGGAGAGGGCGTTTTCATCCCCTCTCCCTGGTTGACTCAACTCGAAAGACACTGCTCAGCATTCATCCTTCACACCAGTCGCCTAGTTGAGTCAACTGAGTTCACCCTGGAAAGCATTGCAATTTCAAGTTTCAATGTGGAGTTCATCGAAGATATTCGTATTAGTCCCATGATATGGGACATGAGTGTGAGGAGTATAGTGATAAAATTAAAAGAAACAAAGCTTGAAGGGAAGTAGCACAACAGTATTTGAGAGAAAGCTCCTGTTTCCCAATTTTATAATAATGGATAAACACACACTTTTCTTTACTGGGTTCCACCTTTTTTGCTTCTCTTTTGCAGAAGAACAAGCACAAGAAGTGCTCCTGCTTCCTCGGGTTCTAACATCGTACTGACCTCCTGTTGGGAAGAGAGGTTGATTCCACAAGTTGCCTGGTATGAAAGCGGCAAAGAAAGAGTCTTCACACAGCAGTAAACTAGTTGAGAGAAAACCGGGCAACTTAGTTGAATTAACCAAACCGCCTTGTTTGAAAGAAGCCTTAACCTAACACAGAAAAAAACCTAGAGAATGAAATTGTAGCAGTGACAGTCAATGACCTGACACTTCTGAGAAGAAGGATTGAGTATATTGCACTGAACTAGGAACTAGGAAGGTACAATAAGCCAGAATGCTGCAGTCCCAGGGGAGCACAAACCCCGCTTCCTAGTATCCTCATCATCATCTGAGTTCTCTTCATCTGAGATTGGGTGTCTGATAAACCAATTTAAAGACGAGCTTTAGGAAATAGCTCCACATTAACATAAATACATTAACACAACCATAAGGATCAATGGTTTTAAAAATGCATTAATACAATTAAACTGTTAAAACAGTATTGCACTCGAAGAGACCGGGTTTTCTGACACCGTGTACAAATCAAAATAAAGATTTATAAAAAATATAGTGCCTTTTGTCTACGATATATTGAAAATTATACAAAGAAATAAACAGTCAGAGCATAAAAATTATTGTTTAGTCTTGAGAACATCCAGCTCTTTAGATGATTAGTTAAAAAAGAAAATTTAAGACATTAATATCTCAGGTTTATTAAGCTTACCCGTTGGTTTAAAAATCCTGGACGACACCCTCTCGTCGGCTCCTTAACCACAATTTTACGGTAACCTTCTGTGATAACGTAATCACTAAAAATAACCTTTGTCAGTCGCTTTTCTCATTGAAATAAAATTAATTTAGATTTATTCAAAATAAATTCAACGCGATGTCGTTAGCCTCGAAGGCGACTTTTGCCGCTTCTTTGACTGTAAGTGTGGGCATAATCGTCTACATCCACTACAAACAACACTCGGACAGGGAGCAGCTGCGAGGAGGCGTCCTGAGGGATCTCGAGCTTCAGCAGATGAAGAAGACCCAAAACATCTACATGCTGGAGCAGCAGAACCATCTTACGTCGCAGTACAAGACGCAGGATGACGCCGGCGGAGGATAGCATTTACAATATAACATCCTGTAAATATCTCAAACTAGTGTAATAAAGGTCTTTTTTTAAGGGTTTATATCATTTGAACTCCCATTTCCATAATTAATAATCACAATTAATAGCGTAGCTTAATTTTAAATTTTAAATTCAGTCAAAGTCGCATATAAATAATGTAATGAATTTTTCGAAGATAATGTACTTAGACAATCGTAAAAATGGTAAAATATTCATTGCGAGTCGCTAAGGATGTTTGTAATTTGATATGTACCTAAATGTGATTAGAGTGTATTACGTAAAAGTAAGAAATGAAAAGGCGGGAAAAATATAGATGTTATCATTCTTATCATTATAACAAAACATGTACATTACATTGTAAAAAACAGTTATTAAAGTGATGAGTTTAAAAGCATTGAAGAACGTTTCCCCAGTCAAGTTTTACGGGAAGGGTGTCAAAAAGGTTGAGTGCTCGAAAAAAAAGCCGGTGGTGGTAAAGTATGTGCTCAGGGATTTGCTGAACGGACCCAGCCTCATATGGAAGACGTTCAGGAGGCAGGAGGAAGCGTTGGAATACCAGAGGCTCTGTAAAGGTGGCCTCATGACTTTCGCGTATGAGACAGCATTCGGGGCAGGGCGCCAGTTCCTTGTCGCTCACCCGGAGGTCTTTTGGCACTATAACATCCAACGGGAGCCGGAAGAACGCTGCACGTACGAGATTGTCCCGGAGAATACAGTGTCCAAGATCTACCTCGATCTGGAGTTTAACAAGGGCCTCAATCCTGGATCCGACGGCGAACTCATGGTCCAGGCGTTCATCGACATCATCACCTTCTACCTGAAGAAACATTTTAAAATAGAATGCCTTAGAGAAAACATCCTGGATCTGGACTCCTCGTCAGATAGTAAATTCAGTCGGCACTTAATTTTCAATCTGCCAAACCACGCATTCATCGACAACAAAAATGTTGGCAATTTTATTAAGAAGATATGCAGCGATTTGAAGAGAGCGAATCCGCCACCTGAATTATCTACGATAAAACTAGAAATTATCAAAAGTCTCTTCGTGACCGATTCAAAAAACAATAGAGTTTTGTTTTGCGATGAAGGCGTTTACACAAAAAACAGACACTTCAGGTGTTATCAAAATACGAAAAAAGGCAAGAATTCTTCTTTAGTCCTGAGCAAATCGAACATATTTAAATGTGAAAATGAGTTACAATACTTCTTATCGTCTTTAATAACAATTGTGAAAAATGACGTACAAATCCTTCAGTATTCGACTGAAAATGAAGACATAAAATACCAAAGAGATGCAGTTCCTAAAAGCAGCTCTGATGATATCAGTACAAGTCCATATCCGATGTTAGACAAATTCATAAATGATTACGTCAAACCTGGAAAAATATACAGAAGTGTTTATTTCTCCTCATCTAAAACTCTTGTGTATGACATTGTGAACAATCGTTTTTGTGGGAACATTGGCCGTGAACACAAGAGCAACAATGTCAAATACATTGTCAATATCGATTGCAGCACGTTTTACCAGAAGTGCCATGACTGGGAATGCAGGGCCTACAGGTCTGACGAGATACCCTTGCCGGCTGAACTCTGTAAAGCGATCAGGCTGGAAGAAAGTCTTACAAATGAACCAGACAGATTTGGCCTCTTTGGTGTCTGCGATGAGATCTCTCCAGAAGTTCTCGATGAAATAGAAAATAAAGCTTTAAAAAAAAGAAAACTTGAACATTTTCCTTCATTTGGACTCAGTGATGAAGAATTTCTTCAAATTGATACTGGAATTTGATTTTATTCTACATTATTATATTTTTTATTGGATTTAAATTTTCATGTAAAATGTATAATTTTACAACATATATATATTTATTCAAATAATTATTTTCATAATACCCCCAGTTAAATAGATTTTCATTATCCCGCCAACTAAATGAATAAATCTTCCAATTCTTTTTGTAATAGTTTATAAAAAGTTGTGTAAAAAATGTATTGTTAACGGTAGAGAAGAAAACTGTAAATTTAATTATAAATCTATAATTTTTTTTTTTAAATAAACCAATTTATTTTTATGTATTATATTACTAATTAAATATTATTTATATTTCAGTTTGTAATGCATTTCGGGCTATGCCCCTGGTCCCTCTTCAGAACTCGCAATGTAATTAAATTAAATTTAACTCCACATAAAAAATAAATAAATAAATAAAATTTAATTACAGCTGCAAAAATATGTTGAAAGTTCAAATATGTCAAAAAACATTACAAAAGAATCTAAAATTTATTGTACTTAATTTTTGGGTAGGTATATTAAATAATAAAAAATAACATTTTAAAATCAATTGCGATTTTTCCTATTTTTTCCTTCCTCAGAAAACAATATGGAGTGGCTTTATTCTTCTTTTCATTTTTCAAATGTCCGGTTACGTGTTTAATTTTTGAATTTTACAGGGGCAAGAAAAATCTCCAATTTTTGAATGGATGTGTGAATAAAAATGCAATATGGGAAGGGGAACATTTTCGCCTGGACGAAAAGCTAATGCAACCACAACTTTTAGGTAATTATATCGTTTTAATATTTTTTAAATATTTTATTTACTGAACTTGTAATCTGGGATGAGCAGTCACTAGGTAAGAAAACACTCCTATTTCTTAGGCCGACATTTTAGAAAAAAGTATTTTTTGCATCAAGAGTACCATTTATCAAGTAGTACTCGTTTTACCATCTATGAGGGTGTACATTTCAAACAAGAGGAAACCAGTTGAAAAATGGAAAATGGGGATTTGGACCAATTGTAGAATGGAACGTATTTATATTTCAATCACAATGGTAGTAGGTAGTTCACCGTCATCTTTTATCTATTTGTCATACCATATTTTAAAACTTGAAAATTTCCCCTGCATATTGATGATGGCAAGATGAATTGAGTGCATGATCTTCCCCTAATCATTTTCAGCTGGATGCAGGAAAATTCAAATCCAGCTCATTCCATGGTTAGCACCATTGATTAATCATATAGTTGATTTGATCTATGCTGTTGCAAATCCTTGTCTGTGCCACCCAATGGGTAGTTTGAAGTTATGCCTTCCCAATTAGGAATTTATTTATTTATACTGTAATAAAGCATTAAACACACTAGATAGTTTTGTTTTGAAAAGATCCTCTTTTAAGTGGAGTGTTGAAGGTTTTTTTTTTTTACATCAAAATGAGAATTGTAATTGAAGTTAAAATTATCTTGATTTTGCATTAAAATAGAGATTATTATTATTAATTTTATTAAATTCATGTGTATTAAATGAAATATATCACAGGGAATTCAATCAAGAATCAACCAGCTATGATGATCAATTGATTATTGAGATGTGGTCTAAAATGAAGTAGTCATATCTTTTTATTTATTTTTTAAGATATGTCTACTTCATTTTGGACCACCTGATCCCAATCATCAATTATTAAATTTAATAATATTTTAGCATTTTGTTAATGGATTTACATTTATCTGGTCTGCCTAGCTTTGTTGGTTTTTGCTAACCAGTAATGTTCAGAAATCAAGCTAGAACTTAAATTGTTACACTACAAACAATTGATTCATTGTGCACCCAAAAATTATTGTAAATGTTACACATTTTGGCCTGTACTAAAAATGTGATAAATTATAAAACAATTTGTTTTAATTTTTTAATATTTTAAATATTTATAGATACAAAATGGAACCTTTTTAAAAAAGTTGTGCAAATCAATTTGACATTAAATAACTTTCAAACGACTAAATTAAGAGACACTGAAAATACTCCGATTAAACGGAGCCATAAAAAGGTATGTTTATGAAAAAATGCTGTGACTTTTTATGACTTTATCTAACTGATTAACTGATCGTTTCCTATTAATCTGTTAAATAAATTAACTATTCCTATTTTATTAAAGGTCCTGCTGAGATTTTGTCAGGTGAACCCAAATAAGGAGGTTTTTCTCGATAGGTACCCACCAAAAGTTTTTATTCAAGTTAACGATCAGTTGTTTTTGCCAAGGAAGGCAAGTTTAATTTATAACAAAATGTAAGTGTATATCTTAATTTTTTTATTTTAATTTTACACTTATTTCAGCAAGGGCCAATTAACATAACATCAGTGCTGACTGTGAAACCCTTTTTGAAGAACTCAATTAAAATCATATTTCAAAGAAGTGATAAAATTTTCATTGGAGTTTTATTTATTGCCCAGACACCGAACCCACAGCTTTGGGATCACAAATCTATATCATTAATCCAAGAGTACAAAGTGACAAGGAACAAAAGTGAGTAAAACATTCTCTACCTAGGGTGGACATAAACTTGACGAATGAATCTTTACCAATAAAGGAAAATAATTGCAAGTCCAAACTAAACCAATAGGATACGCAGTAATTAAATTGTATAATAGTGTAATAACTAAACTGCCGATTAACTTGAGGGACCTCAGTTGTCTATTTAAAATGAGAGATGAATTATTTTACCTAAATTTCACCCCATGGATTGAAAGGAGAATTGAGCTATGTTCATTGTGTAACTTAGGTTCACTTTTTTGGCTATATGTCCAGTGTTAACAGAATTCAAGATGCGACACCTTGCTTCATCCTTTAACAGAAACAAACTTAAAAGAAATGCTAAACACTGTAGACAGTTTGAATCTTGTAAATTATGCTCGCTCAGCTTGGCATTACAGATGTTATTTAGTTAATGAATTTAATTATTAATTTTTATCTTATATTTTTGTTGACCATATTAAACACTCTTTTATTCAATTTAAGTTTTTATTTAACTATTTTTTCAATATTTGAATGCAACGTCAATTCAATTTAATTTGTAATTATACGAAAGATGATAATAATAATGCAATTCTTGTTTACATATAATACAGCATGAGTACTATTTATTATTATTATTATAGCAAAACTATGTCAAAAAAATTAAAAGTTATTATATAAGTTATGTCACCCTCAGTCATGGCACAATGTATAATAAATATAATGTATTCTTGCATTTTATTATTATTCAATTTTTTAAAAAGTAATTTATAACTTAATTTGGCATTAAAAATATTTTAAATCTAGAATGTTGGTTATTTTTTTTAACTAAACACCATTTAAAAAAAGTAATTTATATCTTAATTTGGTGTTCAAAATATTTTAAATCTAGAATGTTGGTTATTTTTTTTTAACTAAACACACCATTTTTTTTTTGATGTTGGTTATTTTTTTTGAGCTATACACATCAATCTAAACACCATTTAAAAAAAAGTAATTTATATCTTAATTTGGTGTTCAAAATATTTTAAATCTAGAATGTTGGTTATTTTTTTTTAACTAAACACACCATTTTTTTTTTGATGTTGGTTATTTTTTTTGAGCTATACACATCAATTTTTTTTAGTAATTTATACCTTAATTTAGTGTTAAAAATATTGTACATCTAGAATGTTGGTTTTTTAAACTAAACACGCCATTTTTTTAATGCAATATATTTTAGTTGCAAATGCATTTTGGGTCATGTCCCTGGTTCAATTTAACTAAGCAAACTCTGAAGAGGGTCCAGGGACATGGCATAAAATAAAGGAAAAATGAAATAAAAAAATAGAAAAACCCACCATTTCTAGATTTAAAATTATTATTATTTATATATTAATAAATTCATATATCATAAAATGATAAGATAATTTATAGTATAATATCAATGAAAGAGCAAGCTTGTATTATTGTAATAGATACCTTCTAATAGGTAGGAATAAATTAAATAGTCTCCAGGTTAAGTTCTTAAGTTAAGTCTTATAAAAACAATTCTTCTATGAAGGAATGAACAATGTTTTCTTATATTTCGACCTCAACACTTAATCTTATGTCACTGACCTATTATCCCACCTTCATGAAGGAATGAAGCTCTGCAGTTTGTTAGTAACTTCTTGTTCTTCTGCTTCTTTGAAAATTCTGATTGCCAAGTTCTGCAAGATGTTGATTGTTTGTGTCCAGTGGAAGATTTCCATTGCTTCCGGGACCCTCTCCTAATCTGTTTTGAATATTTTACTCTAACAGTGTGTTCCATTTCACATGTTTTGTCAATAGTACAGTGAATTTCTTCCTTGCTTTCCCATTTCCCTTGATTTCTGTGGTGGTACCCAGTCCTGGGCAACTATATAGTTTTTGCAATTCAGAACTGTCTTTATTCTCAAGTTTGGGTTCTTTTTCAATTTCATTACAGTTGGTTTAGTTTTCTTCTTTTTGTTGTTCTTTGTTTTTTTATGGATTAGTTACTTAAATTATTGTTGTTAGGCCATTTATCTTAAAGGTTAAATTAAATTTATTAGTCCTGTGATAATTCAGCATTCTGTAGTATATTCATATAGTTTTATTAACTTTTATTACAAATAAATATAATTTATTAATTATAGTTAATTATCAATAAGTAATCCATAACAGAATAAGAAAGGCAATAAAAATGAAAAGAAGAACATCAAAACTGATGAGAACTTACACTTCGAACTTTACAGCTCAGAAAAAAACATCAATGGAATAATTATGTAATATTCCAGATAATAAAACTTCCTGAATATGGTGTAAGATGTTTAATTGTTTCAGGACTTATAAATGTAATTGATTAATTTAACCTCCTCTATTTATTTGTCATTTGTATATATATTTTTTTTTTCAAAAAAAAAAACAAAACCACTGCATTAACAAACAATTATTATAATACAATTAAATTGATGATGATAGTTAACTAATAGAAAACAATTAAATTGCAGTTGCCAACTTGTTTCATGGGGCTGATGGTGATTCTGATGTGAAGATCACTTCCTTGAATGTTTCATTAAAATGCCCTCTCAGCCAAATCTTAATCAATGTGCCGTGCATTGGGAAGCGTTGTATGCACATTGAATGTTTTGATATGGAGTCGTATTTCGATGCAAATTCGACAAAAAACCCAAAGTGGGAATGCCCTATTTGCAGAAAAGGCTGCCAGCCTGACAACTTGATTATTGATGGGTACCACTGAACAACAATATAAATTACTTAAAATCGAACTACATACTCAGTATAATAATATTTGTTATTTTAGGTATTGGAAAGCAGTGTTAAAAGAGATCCCATTGGATTGCACTTCTGTAAGTTTGCAAAAAGACGGCTCTTGGATTCCCCTGTGTAACTCTAAGAATTAAGTGTAAACAATTTGTAATTGAGAATTTTATTTCAAAATTATATTAACACAGTAATTAAAGAAAATCTTTAATGCATTTGCTTTTATAAATTTATACTGTAAACATAGCTATACTGTTATAGAGCTGTTGGTTCTGTGAGGGGATGAACCTGTAGGGGAACTGCGAAGATGATCAAATGCCAACTTGGATCTGACCATATAACCAGCAAGAATAGGCAAGTCAGGATGATTCTAATAGTGGCCACTGCAAAATCAATAATTTGATTACATTCACATAGCCTGCAAACAGAGATAATGTTAGAAACAAGACACATATCAGACACATCACACTGGGTATACCAAAGCAAACTCAACCAATTATAATCCATGCCATTAATGTTTCATGTCAAACCTTAAAACAAGTTCTGATAAGATAATTCAAATTATAAACTGTTTCAAGCTTTCATAAATAAATAGAAAACTAGTGGAAGAATGCTAAAACTAATGGCTGTCCAATTGTAGTGTCAAAAGGTGGCTTTTGAGAGTGTCAATGTTACAGCTGAGATACAAGAAACTACAACCAGATCTAAGGAGGAGGCGGGGGCCGCGGTAGCCGAGTGGTTAAGGCGTCAGACTCTCGGCTAGTAGATCCCGTGGTCGTGACTTTTGTGACGCCTAAGGGGACCGGTGGCCGCAATTGAAAGAAATTGACACGGCACTCATCAATGGAAGGGGCAGGAACGGATCTCAGCGACCCTGAATTTGGTCCTAACCCCCTTCAAAAATGAGTTTCTTCGATGGAAGAACACCAGTACAACGGGGGCTCAAGTTCACATTTGTGTTGCGAGCCCTCCCCCAAAATATGGAGCCAGGGATAAAGTACAATAAGCTGTACAGCTCAGCTGCAGTGCTCAGGAGGGAACTCCTCCAGTCCCTGGTATCAAAAAAAAAAAAAAAAAAATCTCAAAAGAAATAAAACAAATGAAATGGCTACAACGGTGTCTGATAAAATGAGAGAAAAGCTCAACTTTGAAAGACCTTCTAGTGGGCATAGACATTAGAGACATTTGGAAAAAAGCTGACCCCAAATTACAAGAAGGGCCCCTAATATGGTGGACAGATGGATCGAAGAAGGAACAGGGAGTAGACATAGGAATAAAAGGGCCAAACTTCACCCTTGCGAAACCCCTTGGACTAACCCCAACAATTTTCCAAGCTGAAGTCAATACAATAAACGTGTTCACAGGAGTTAATAAAGAAAAATATGAAAGGTACACGTTATATATTTGCTCTCAGACATCCAGGCAGGCTATAAAGGCATTTAATGCTATGCTTTGAACTCCAAACTTGTCCGGGAGTACCTAACCTGCAAAACAAGATTACCGTTGAGTGTAATATTGGCCTTCATGATAAATATTGAAATAAAGAGATAGGGGATGAAGCCTTTTAGGTAAAAAAAACCAACTCTTTTTTTGCCGTCGAGCTTTCGGCTATATTTAACGCCTTCCTCAGGACATTGAAAAAAATATTTTAAAAACTTGAAAATCAATTTGGACATATGGTCCAAATAGAAGGGGCCGGATAACTACAAAACAAGTTTATCTTAAATTGGATCCCTGAACATAAAGGCATAGAAGGAAATGATAAGGCTGGCCAACAAGCCAAAAAAGGGGCAACCCTCTCATCCATGGGACCAGAACCACAGCTAAATACTACAGAATGAGTGCTAATATTAATATTAATACTATATTCTTAATTGGAGCTTGGCCCAATCCATCAACCGGGCTTGAAACTTAAAAGTAGAGGTAAATAGAAGAGAGCACAAAGCAAATCCAAAAGTGAACTATGAAAAGGTAATTCAATCAAAACCTGAAGAAACATGTATAAACAATAATATTCATATGTACATAGGAGTGGCAATTCAATAGAGATAATAGTCATGCATCATAGCTTTTTTGATATTGAGCTTTTTGCAGTTCTAGCAAAATAAAGTTTTTAGCCAACATAGGTATTCAGAGGTGTAATATTAGTGATAGCCAATAAGTTTTGGTTTAGGGATGGTTAGTATGTTTACTACCCAAGTTGTGCTACCAACAAATTTACAAACAACGTTTAATTGTGATATTATTGCTATACTAAATATTTAAATTATGCTATCAATAATCGGTTTCTAACATACAGACATAAACAAGAAAAACAAGTTTATGTGATATTTCACTACATTGACCGGAAAATATGACGTTTGTAACTGTTCAACATGTCAGACAGACCCCCAGGAAAAACAACGTGGGTGTCACAGGAAAATGCGTAGCTCGGGTGTGCCGGTTCGTTCACCATATTGTCAAGATTAAGCCTTTTTGGCATGGCAGATGTTATGCCTCTGCATAAAAAATAAGCTTTTAGATTTGCCATCTGTCCCGGCACGAATTTATTTAAATTAAGGGGAAAAAATGGTAATAAAGCACGGCAAGAACACTTTTTCTCAAATGAGAGAAAATGACACGAAAACGTCTTGTTATAAAATTTTCTCGGGTCTTTTTGGGAATAGGGACCCCCTCGTTATCTGTAGAAAACTTGTTTTACTGTTTTTACACATTTATTCTGGTGGCCAAAAATGGACAATATAATTTATTAATCGATTGAACAAATCATTACCGCTATTTCTGTGACGCCACAGAAATTCACAAAAATATGAGTCTATCAAACTTCGTCTTGTACCATGTTGTAGGATGCCCACATGTCCGACATCATGGTTGTACCTGGGTGAATACATCAAATGAACTGCGCAAACTTCTCTAAACATATTTTTCCAATCTGTAATAATATCGGTAGCTAATCCCAGTTCCTCTTGACAAATTTAGTAGATGTATATTCCTTAGTATAGGAAAATGATAAATTTATTAAATGGCAAATTTCCGTTTTCCAAAAATGTACCTTTTCTTACTCCAAACGTTGTTTGCAGGCTTTCACGTGACATCTCCATCTATCCTTTTTCTCCTAGATGGAGTTACATTTGATGCTTATTAGAACAAACACTTACACTGTGCAAAGTCCCCCTTACGCTGAAGAAAAGAAATCATTTTTTCCTTTGTATCTACTTGAGCAAATAAGTCAAATAAAGGCATGGTTTTCTCTTTAAGAATAGAAAATAACAGAGATAAAACTATTACCAAAATTATCAAGACAAAAATAGATATCATTTGTTGTCCTTCTACAACAGATAATGAGGGGGTCCCTATTCCCAAAAAGATCCAAATTTTCTAAAATATAACAGTAATTTTATCACTAAAACCTTCAATACTTAAAAAAATATAAATATAACGAATACATAAAATTTACTTTTCCATCACAAATCATGAATTTACACAGCTTAAATTCCGCTGTTGCAATATCGTAATGACATTATTTGGAAGGCATTGGACAGTTTTGGTGCTTTTTGTACTTAAAATTTTTCATATTTACATGAAAATTTAAACCTTTTTCACGATTTGCCTTACTGTACACTAATCCTGCGCCATGGTAAGTACACAATTTCTTTAAAAACTAAAAAAAAACAAAAAAAACATAATTTTCATTGTAAGACTGAACACGATCGTCTTATTTATTCTTAAATCACCAATTGTTTACCGGTAAAACACACGTACTGATCGACGTACTAATTTTTAATTAATTCATGTTTAAGTTTATAAACAAGTGATGGCCTTTTTAATAAAGACCAACAAGCGATGTTAATGTTGATACTTTATAATTTCAAAAAATAAAAGTTCGTAACCTAACGGCTTATTGTAAAAATATACATTTATCGCATATTAAACAGTCATGTACAGTAAGGTTAGTAGGTAATTAATTATTTACAGATTGAGCTTTTTATACTGTTCACGTTTAAATAGGCTTAGTTTAAACATAGAATTAAAACAAAAACAATTTTTCAGTTTCTATTCAAAATTTATTGTTATGCATAACAAACGAAATAAACGTGAGTCATATCGCTGTTTCCTCTTTAACGTCATGATGATACCAGATCGATTTTTTCATTGTCAGATATCCGGAATGTATGTTTAGCGGAATACAATCTTATTGCTGAGGGGCTTAACCTAATCAACGTAAATAAATTTTTTGTTAGAAAAAAGGATCGTAGGAATAAACATAGATTTAATTAGATAACTTTATTGGATAAACCGAGTACACGCATGAAGGGCGGCTACAATGCGGCTGACTATTCAACGACTGCACAAAATACAAATCGATGTTAACATTGTTTAAATACAATCGATTAAAGTAATATAAATTACTATTTCTAACAATTCCTTCCTTTAATTTATATTACTTATGTTCACAATTAAGTAAAGTACTTCATAACATGTTTGCATGTTAAACGTTCGCTGACAGCCTTCGTCATGACATCAGCAGGTTGATCTTCACTTTGGACGTCCTTCGCTAAGACTGTCCCTCGTTTCACTTCGTCTTTCACAAAATGAAATTTACGGTTTATGCGTTTTGTTCTACCACTTTGTTTTTCGCCTAAGATCCAATCAATCACTGCTTTGCTATCCGTATACAAATTTATCGTGATACTGTAGTTCTCTCCAATGAGTTCTTCTATAAACGATTTAACCCATAACGCTTCTTGTAATCCAGTGGTTCCCAAACTTTTTTGACCCATGGACCCCTTTATACAGTCAAAAATTGCCCAAGTTAAAAAGCCACATAAAAGCATAGTATAAAAATTACAAAAAAAACAAAACATTTTGTTGAAAAAATATTTATTGAAATTATAAATATATATAAGTTATAATATTAATTACTTTTGTTAAAAAAAAAAAAAAAAAAAAGAAAAAAAATTCTTTAAAAAATACGCAGTTTCGGTTTTTTTTTCCAGTCGAAGATTGGAATTAGTTAAAAAAAAAAAAAAAGAAAAAAATAATGACGGATGAACGTGATGAGATGTTATGAGTGTATATGTCTGGTTTGTGAGCAGCAACCGCAAATTCCCACGAGCACTAATTTCTAGTCGGTTTCTTTTTTTGTGATGAGGTTCATATCGGCACTGAATCCTGTATTTCCTTAGTTCCCTGTAGATATCTGAATATTCGCTTTACTTCTGTCCAATGTAATTCACTTGGATCTTTGTTGTACTGTGACAGGCTACTAACAGCATATGCTGTCTGGCCAGGGTCATTCTGTCTAAGAACATTAAAGATCCGATTGCTTCTTGGTAACGTTGCATGTTATATACTGGTGAATCTTCATAGTTGTCCAGGTTGTCTCCTATTGCCCGAGGCGTCTTTACCTAATTGCATTCTGTCATTTGATGGTGTTCAAGAAGATCTTCAATATATTTTTTCTGCGAGATTCCTATTCCTTGTCCTAGTGTTGCTAAAATGACCCCTAAGAGTACATCATCAGGCATTCTTCTGATCTCAATTGTTGCTTCTATCATAGATATATATTTGTTAATAATTTCATCCGTTTTTCTCAGTATAAAGGAGACATTCACATAAATTAACTTAAGCCCTTTGTTATTCTCCCTTTTCCTCGACGATCTCCCGGATTGTCTTGAATACGGTATACGCTACGGAAATATTGAAATAAAGATTCTTTTGTACGCGGACGATNTTTATCTAATAAAGTACTTTTTCATTCATTCATTCATTCACATAAATTCCAATTATCATAAGTAGTTCCTTCTCTCTTTTGGTGAATACACATGATTTTCTTCTAAGATTTGACTTAATTTTTTATACCGGCATCTTTCCATTGTGGTAAACCATATATGCCCTTTTCTACTTTCAAGACTACGTCATCCTTAACGTTGTCAAACCCTGAGGGTAATTCCATATATATTGGATTGTCAAGTGTCGAATTCAGGTAAGCTGATTTCACATCATAATGGCGTCTTTTCCACTTCCATTTTGACCCTAAAGTGCATTGCGCACATGGCTTACCTTTGACCGGAGGCTGATAAAATTAAAAAAGCACTCTTATACTTCTAATGCATTTTTCCAAAATTTTGTTGATTTTTGGAAGTTTTATTTTATACATCTATGGATGTCAGTTATTTCAATGAGATTTCAACAGGCCGAGTCACACACGGCGTTCGCTCCCGTCTTCCACAGTGTGCCAGGGAAAAGGACACCGATGGAGCCGATTCGAAGTTACGTTTCAAACTTGTTAAAAACGTCTCACATGTACGATTTCATCTGTTATCTAGTACCTGTAATAATTCTACGTGAGTAATTTTCATCATTCACCTTGTCACGATTTGTAATATCGATTTGAAATCAGCTCAGAAGCAGCAGGCGAAGAGATTCAACATCAAGCTGACTTTGGAACAGGCGAATTCATTAGCCCTTTCGAGAGATATCGTCATCGTCAATGGCGAGCTCGAAAGCAAGTTTTGGACCAAGGCAAATCTAAATTTTTTTTTTTAAATCAATATTCAGAACCGATATAATAATATATATNTATATATAATATTTGACACTGTTCAGGTAGTGTTCAGGGTGTGCAAAGCAGAAAACGGTCGTTTCGTCGTCGACCTTCCATTGCACCTTTCGATTAAAATTAACGGACAAGTTGTCATCCGGGACCAGGTATGTTTTATTATCGCTATAATTTTACGCCAAATGATCGCAGTTTTACAGGAAGGACCTTTAGAGCTCACGAAATATTTCAAATTCAACCCAGAACTGCCCAACACCCTGATAATAGAGTACCCGAAATATACGACCGGTATGATCTTCGTAAGCATACTTCTGGTCAAGGCGCTTAGTTGTGAGTCGATGGTCAACAACCTGATCGTGACGAGAACGAGAAGCAAAGACTACACGAAACAAAAAAGTATGTTGATCGTTGACGGACAGACATGTACTTGTACATGTACGCGGTGTTATGTAATGGTAAAGAATGTTACGGAGAGGATCGACCAATTTTTTTCAATGTTGAAGAGGATCAGGTTTATGGACTTGAATTAAGTTACAAATTTATATAAACAATTCGCCGAACTTTCGCTACATGTAGTCGCATAATCGGGGCACTGCTGCTGAATTATGTGTTTCATATTTGAGAAAGACAACTATTTTTATCCATTTCACAGAACATTTGGACCATTATGCGCTTTTTGACTAGATTCTTCGATCGTAGTTGTGGTTTTTATGTTAAAACCAAATGGTTTATGTTAAATGGACTATTTTTTTTCGAGTAAAGTTGATTAGGTAAAATTTAAAATAAATAGTTTGTCTCCGTCGAGGTCCCTCCGTCTTGCAAAATAATGATTTTTTTCATGATTTTTTTTTCTCGTAGAAAGAAGGACCTCGACGGAGACAAACTATTTATTTTAAATTTCACCTAATCAACATTACTCCAAAAGAATTAGTCCATTAACATAAAAAACCACAACTACGATCGAAGAATCTAGTCAAAAAGCACATAATGGTCCAAATGTTCGGTGAAATGGATAAAAGTTGTCTTTCTCAAATATGTAACATATAATTCATCAGCAGTGCCCTGACGATGCGACTATATGTAGCGAAAGCTCGGCGAATTGTTTGCATAAATTTTTAACCTCATTCAAGACCATAAACCTGATCCTCTTCAACATAATGGTAATGTTTTCGCTTTTGTTGTAAACGGCAGCACCATTCTGCACAAAATGGATCTTTAAACTTAAAAGAAAAGTGCAGTATGTTTAACGCCTTTTTGTCTCATTTTCAACGACATAACAGTAACTCTTTAACTCCGTAAGACCTTTCATCGCTTAATACGATTTAATTTCCGATTAATATTTTTTCAGTTATCAAAATGCTCGAAAATGAAAACAACGATGTGACATTCATGTCGTCAGAGTTATCACTGATATGTCCTCTTAGTCAGACAGTAATGGAATTTCCCTGTCAGGGAATTTCCTGTTCACATCTTAAATGTTTCGACGCCTTCACTTACCTGAGTCTTAACGATTTTAGCGGAAAATGGATTTGCCCACTTTGCAAAAAGACAACGCTGCCTTCCAGCCTTGTCATTGACGGGTAAAAAGAACTCATCAACACATTTTTTCAATCGCCCTGATTGTAATTTTCGTCTAGGTATCTGGCCGGCGTGATAAATACGCTGAAAACTTCAAATTTAAGTTGTTCCACAGTTGCCCTCCTGAAGGACGGTTCTTGGCAGCCGAAGAACAACGGAGAACAAAAGGAAGTTTTAGAATCAGATCCAATAGCCGTACTATGATCAGAATTTTTTATTGATGTTAATTAGTCAGTAGGTAACTAAACATATGTATGTTACTAATAAATATTTTAAAAAAGTCTATTCCGCATCTTGCAACTGTTTATATTTATTGTTAAATTCTTTTCAGTTACTTAATCTTTTTATATAAGGTTTTGGTTGAGATAAAAAAGTCAGTGTCACGAGAGGGATTCAAACCCACGACCTTCGGCTGAATACGCCGCTGCTCTACCACTTGAGCTATCATGTCTTCGTCTTCGATCCACTCGGACACCAACTTCCCATCTCGAACCACCTTTTGAATTTTCCCTCCTTTTTGCCATTTTTCAAATGTCGTGTAATCTATTTGATTCTCGGCGACAAATGAAATTTTGCTTATTACATCTATTAGTTTTCGTGGCCCGATTGACCAAATAAATTTTATTGTTAAACCCACGCAAGCAGGTGGAAATGAGTAAATTTGTACTCAACTTCGGTTCTTACCTTCCATTTAATAATTTTTCTTTTTTTAAAGTTAAGGGGGTGTCGGAAAGATGACACACCGGGAAGGGTAGAGAAGTTGAGGTTGATTCCATTAACACAGTAAACAGACTGTAGAGTTTGCTGCAAAGTCAAACAAAACTGACGTCATTGTTACGGTAAACTGCCACAATGAAAGCACAAACAAACTGGGAAGAAATCCTTCACATTTTGGCCTTTCAACGACAGCGGATTCCCCTCGGAGGCCAGCGTCACTGCGAAAACCCAATTCAATACGAGGATAATGGGGCTTTGTAGTGACGCAGGGCTTCGATGGCTGTTCCATATAGATCCCTACCGCTTGATTATAGACACTATTTGATGTTGAAAATCCGACACTGATTTCGACCGGTGAACGATTATCGGATTAGTAGTCGGAAGTTTGGAAAATAATTAGGAAGGAAATATCAAATTTTAAATTATGATATTTCTCCGAGTTGGAGCGATGAACCTGTTATTTGGTCGTTACCGAATATTTGTCCTGCCTATCATCTCTGAGTCAGACTTCAAACGTGTTTCGGCATTTCAATTGATTGGCATAATCACCCAGACTTTGACAGACCAACCCTGCGAGGATCGACAGACCAAAATGGTCGGTTATGACCAAATTACACCCATGTTTTAACCATTATGTCTAAAAGCGTACAGACTCCGTTGTATGTGTTACATCGGCGTACTTTAACATGTAGAGGGGCGTTGGTGGCCGCAACGGTTGACACGGCGCTCACACTGTAAGGTAAGGTCCCGGGTTCGAATCCAGCGGCCCTGCATTCGATCCCGAAATACTTACAAATGGGCTTTTTTTTCAAAAACACCAGCACCCCTCTTTATATGACCTCTGCTGTTGCGAACCCTCGTAAAAAAAGAGAAAAACAACTAGAAGACAATTCATTCGTCATTTTGTACATCAATAATATTTTTACTTTAGATGTTAATGGCTTGCCGTTTTGTTTTGCCGACGATACGGTATTTATTTTTACTGACAATTGCTTTATTAATTTATTAAATATTGTTTCGAATAATTTTAAGATAATTAAAGAATGGATGAATACTAACTTATTGTCAATCAATATAAATAAAACCTCTCTGATGTTCTTTTGCAATGGTTTGACACAACAGTCACCTATGTCTTATCCAAATCTCACTCTTCGCAAAAATGAATGTAAATCATATGATGGAAATTGTGTGTCCAGTACTATCTTTTCCTACTAGATGTAAATATTTAGGAATTGCGTTCGATAGAAATATGAAATTTAAAATGTATGTAGAAACTCTCACCAACCGAATTCGTAAATTATTTTATAAATTCAAAATGTTGAGAAATATTCTTGATCCTCACACTCTAAAAACTGTACATTTTGCTTCACGTCAATCACTACTTCAATATAGTATGGGGCAATACCAGTAAAATACTATTACATAAGGTTTGTGTTGATCAAAAGATTGTAATTAAAATGATACTAAATGTGCATCCAAGATTTAGGTCTGAAGAATTGTTCAAAAAATTTGATGTCTTTCTTGTCATTCATGCATTTAAAGTTAAACCGCATAGCATTTGCATGTGTATCCTCCTCGTTTATCTAAAAAATCAAAAATTGTCTTGCCTAAAATTAATTCTGTACTTTTTGCCAAACATACCTTCATTGCTAGTTTAAAAACGGCACTTCAATTTAAATTAAATTTTTATGACTTTAGTAATGTTAATAAATTCAAAAATTATTTAATAAAGCATGCCATTTGTAATATTTAAAGTTCTTCTCATTTTCTTAAAATATGTAAAAAAAATTGTTATTCCAATCATCAGTACAAGTCTGAACTATAATTTTTTATCTACTCAAATATCATGACCTCACGTGTAAATATTGTTTTGCTTAATATAATGTAATTGTAAAGAACTCCAACCCTCCGTATTAGAATGTTATTTTTTTACGAGGGTTCGCAACAGCAGCGGTCATATAAACTCTCAGGGTGCCGGTGTTTTTGAAAAAAAAAAATTAAGTATGCCGAGTTCGAATGCAGCGCCGCTGGATTTGAACCCGGGGCTTTTACCTTACAGTGATGAGCACCGTGTCAACGCCTAAACCGTTGAGGCCACGGACGCCCCTTAAATTTCTTATTTAGGGTTGGTATAAGAAATACCTTTTTTTGTTAACTTGTTTTTTTTTCTATCTCTTTTCTTATTCTCTGTTAACTGTATCTCTTATGCAAATAAAATTTCTCATATTTCTCAATTAAAATAGGGACGATAGACGTTAGAGAATACTGAATTTCTGTGTAATATAAAGGAAAAAAATCAAATTTTCGAGAATGTAATTATATATCTTAATTGCCAAGTGGCCTCCTTCATTGAAAAGACGCAGGAATAGCGAGGGTTGAAAATAATGAATGCTCCAATTCGTCCTATCCGTAATAAAAGAAATAAAACACATTAAACATAATTAATACGAACACACAATTATATTTAATGAAAACAACCTGACAAATATATTGGCAAAATTTTGATCCACAAACAATACATTATTTATAATACAATAATTAATACAAACCTACTCTATCCGACACCAGATAAAATAATAAACACCAGAGAAAATCAGCCGAATCTACAGTTGGTACAAAGCCACCTTAATGGCCAGAGCCAACTTGATTTTTACTTAATTAACGTTCACAAATCATAACATTATTTTATTGTGTATTTAGCAAATAGTTTGATTTCAAGAGAAAACAATAAAGATTGAAAACTAGGTATTCATAACTATACTGAGAGGCAAAAAAAAAGTGGCCACACTCGTTTTTTGTAAATACATACTTGCAATCGTTATAATTATTTGTGGATTTTGAGATGCGGTCTGGTCTGACGTATGTTTTAGAAAAACATTTTCTTTATCGTGCCAACGTTTCGATCTTGATTGAGAACATTTTCAGGGCCTGGGATTTATAAACATTGTTTAAATTTGACAAATACAAGTAGGCTGTGGAAAAAATGAATTTACACAATGCTAGAAATTCGTTTTTTTTCACATCGTACTTGTATTTGTATAACTTAAACCATGTTTATAAATCCCAAGCCCTGAAGATTATCTCAATAAAGATCGAAACGTTGGCTGGCACGGTAAAGAAAATGTTTTTCTAAAACCCGCATCACACCAGACGGCATCTCACGATCTCCAAATGATCATTAATTAATGGTCACTAAACACACACAACAAAACTATAAATTCATTTTAATTGCAAATATATTATGTAAATTAAAAAAAATGTATTACTGAAATTTTAGCAATTTTAAATTTAGTTTCGTTAATTTGCATTCATGTTAAATTATAACATCAAAGCCAAATCCACTTCTTTCTTTAAATTCATATTGTAAATACATATCCACTTCTCTAATTTTAAATATAATTTTGTGGCATTGCAAATATAATAAAAATAATTTAATTAAATTAAAAAAAATAACGTTTTACTATTTTGTACATTTGAAAATTATTTTGTACAATTGAAATGGTTATAAGTGCATGCACTGATGTGGACATGCGAAAACCTCCTTCTATTAGTAGGACTGGTTAAAGGGGAACAAAAACGAGTTAAATTTACGAGAACTGTAGTAAGCAAAAAAAAAGTTAAAAAAATTTAGTTCCCTCTTTCCAAATAACTATTTCATCCGTTATTATTATAAACAGACGTACAGTGAAACTTCCCTATAACGAACATTCTTGGAGAAGGACGTATTGTGTCACTGGATAAGTTGGGGGGCTTCTGAAAAATGAAAGCAAATAGTTGTTCAGGACGATAGAACGGCCTGGAAAGCGAAACAGGGCTGCTGCGTGGCCCGGCATCGCTGTCCCTGCTTAGTCTTCTCTCTAATTTTGGGACGAAATTCTTCTAAACCCTCCTTTTCGTGTTGACCACCCTATTACCAGAGATGTTGACATTACACTAATAAACACCACTTAGCCAACCCTGGAGAATTTAAGGCACGGACGAGAATTTAAACTGTACTTAGACGGAAGAATATGCCCAGCTTTAAACTTTTTATTTCAAAGTGTAACAGGTTGAAGAAACCAAACAGCGATACTTCGACTAGCTCGCCATAAATGAAAGAATAATCAGGTGTTTAATTTATAATTAATTTTTACATCACAATATCAATATTACTTAATTAAATGCTTGGTTTAAAATTTATATTTACATCTTAAATTGTATTTTTTTCCAATCAACATATGTTTTGTAGTTTACCCAGGCCCTGAAGATGAGCCGGATAAAGGTCGCAACGTCAGCAAAAAATGAAAAAGGTGTTTTTCTAAATTACCGCTCTTCACGACTTCAACAAAATATTATTTAATTTTAAATATCGCATTTTAATAAAGATGTACAGTTTAACGGTGTATGTTTACATTTAGATGGTTTCCACACCCACACTTGGTCCGCGAGTTCTCGATATAAATATCTGATTTTTTAAAATTATTTATTACCAACACAAGGTATTTCCTACTCACATCAAAAGCAACTTTAACTTCTCAAATGCCACACTAATACAACCAAACACCGGAATTAACGACATACATAAGG